ATTCCGTTTAGGCCACATTCTGTTGAGATGACAAGACTTTATGGATGATCAACTTCTTTATTTTGACAATGGCGAAGTTTCGATATATGCTCATGCCAATAATGGTTGTCATCCCCCTCCCCATCCCAACCCCATACACACCTAACCCCACACCCCCTCTTTAATTAAAAAATGGAAAGGGGTGACAACCATTATTGGCATGAGTATGGATTCTTATACCGTTTTCAAGCATATGGGCGAATGATGGGTACACCGGGTACCAGTTTATATACAAGATAAGATAAAGAGATAACAATAACAAGGGTGGAAAACAAAGTATCAAAGAAAGTTGAATGATGGGCGACATTAGCATGATGATGAGCTGAGATAACATAAGTGGGATTACCATGACAATTAGTGACTGTAAGTTAATGAGGCAGAAGCCAAGGTTGTGGGGGATTGATTAGTGGGAAGCCACCTACAACATTCATTTGCTTGAAAACGGTATTTATAAGAATCTATACCGAAGCGTCGCCATTATCAAATTATAGAAGTTGATCATCCATAAAGTCTTGTCATACCACCAACTTCTAGAATGCCACTCAAACCTATCACATTCTGTTGCACCTGTCAGGGAAGTCGCGTGTAAACAATGATTCATCCAAACACATGGCCTTTGCGCAGTTGTGATTGGTCCACCGCTGTCGCTGTAGCTCTTGGAAGCTCCTCCCCAATTTGAGAGGCATTTGGACCAGTTTCATCACAGTCATTCTGATGGGACAGTCTTGTGCACCAGTTGTCGCCCTTGGTCTGTCATCAACGATATTTGTCGATATCGCGATTTATATACAATGGAATCTGTCTAAACCCGCAGCTGTCCAATCCGGCAAGTTGTCAATACCGGCCTAAAAACTCAGTCCCGTCCGTGACTAGTACATTTATCATCATTTAAAAACTCTGCAATCCGGTAGCTGTCAATTCCTGATTTCGGCATGAAATGAGCCACCCGAATATGTGTCTATACAGTATTCAGCGCTGTCTAATCTGGCGTGTGGCTGTATGCAGACTACTGACTGCTAAACGATAAGCACGTGCCGCAATGCTCAGTGTTGTTCTAATGTCCAACATGCACGCAGGAAAGTACTCTGAGGGTGTGGGTTCGAATCCCGGATGAGACTCAACCCAACAAAAGTTCTAGAATCTGGACTTTATTGAGAAGGGTTTGTATCAAATATAAATATCAGAATATAATATATAGTATATTCTCCACTGGCCCGCTACGCCTAAATCACCCAACCATTTCATCAACAAAACACCTTTCAGATACAGTATTCCTATTTAGAGAATTGACAAAGTAGGCGATGACACTGGATCCCTGTTCAGATACGTAGGTGTAGGCAGGTTCCCGGGTCGTTCACCCCAAGTAGGTTCACCCGGGTCGTTTCATCCCATTTCCAAACTAGGTCAATTCATCCCATATTAGGTAAGTGCTACTTTAGCATATATCTCATCTAGTCTCACCTCACCTCATCACGCTTAAAACATTTAAAGAAGTCGTGATCAACACCGAGTTAGACATTACACTTCCACCTCTGCCATGGCGACTGCATGTTCGGAGATCTGCCTCAGCTGCCTCTGTCTGTCTGTCTGTCTGCATGTTAGTGCACAATGCTCTTATAGACCTATCCCTCATATACTTAATACCCATTGATAAATAATGTTTAATTGATACCTTTTAAATATCCAATGAGTAAATTTAATCTGCAAATTGTTATTATTCAATAAACTGAGTGAAACAACCTCAAAATGGGGTGAAACTGAATGGGGTGAAACTGTGCTGTGGTGAACGTGTTTAGGGTGAAATAACCCGTTACCGTGTAGTTGTATGTGTAGGTACATGTAGGTACCAGTTCCGTCACACCTTGCTCTACCATCAAACATACACAAATTGTGCGTAAAGCAAGGAGTCAAAGTATTTCGTTATGAACATCAACTGATACCTGCCGGCAGTATTCAGCCATTGGTTTTCTGATACAAAGCCAGGTTTACCCATTCTCAGAAAGCTGTGGGATGGATATTCGATTTTCAAGAAGGTAGCAGTTAAAATTCATTATAATATTATATCCAATAAAGTCAGCATCATCAAGCTTTGAAAAAGGAAATTCAATATTCAAGTTTAAGAAAAAGACAGTATAGTTCAATAGTCTGCACGTGGTAGATTATCTCGGTGGTTCCTACTTATTTGTCATCTGAAGGGGCCGCATCCTCTGCCCCCAGTAACCAAACCAGTACACTGGTACGTATTCACCAGTCAAAATGTACTTCAATTTTCATCAGCAGAAACATGTGTAGCGTTGTGGCCTAATACAGACGCTGACGGTGGGAGCAGGAATACACACAGTAACCCATCTGAACCTTTCAAAGTGTACAAATATTCAAATCTTCAAAATTAACAATTAATTAATCAGATATGTTTTCTTTTATACCATTTGGACATAGAAACGTGATACAGAACCAAACTCCAATCTGTTCTCTGCCATAACAATGAACTGTGTGCCCTCGTCCAAACATGGAGGCCTTCTGCCCTAATGTGGACATGTCATCCTGATCATGTGATCAAAGGTCAGACTGTGGATTGTATTATAGAATTGGAAATGTCTTGGCAGCAGCCTGGGTTTGAACACTGAACCCTTCCGTATTGATGAAAGCTTCACCAAACGGTCCAAAGGTATAATCCTTTGTACTAAAGGCACTTGCACAAGTGTAAAAATATTATAATTAACTCATACATTAATTGAATTAAGATGAAAAACTGATAATTCCGTACATCCACAGAAAGTCTGGGTTAGGCCCAGTCTGTGATATTATAGGAACATTTCTTTGTATACTTCGGGCAAACTGCCAACTGCATCACGAATTTGACCCGAATGCTGTAATGGTTTGAAGTATCCCGTCAGTTCTTTTCTTTAACGATGTGACAGTGTTTCTCTCTAATGCCTCGTCAGATCATTAGCAGCCCCCATACCGCTAGTTCATCTAAGTGTCGCGATGTTTGAGGATTTCAATCTTACCTTCAGTTGAAGTCAACTAAACTATAGCCAGGCGTGATCTGTCGTGATTTGATTTTCTCGCTCTAATACGATGCGCCCATATAATGTCCTGAACCTACCACGTATATGTTTTCTCTGGATCATCTAAAGTAGAGATAATATTTTCCTTACATGCATCCGCTGTACTAGCCTCTATTTCTGGAATGTAACGTTGTCTCTATAAGCCTCATGGATATCTCAGTTTCCTGATCTAGCACAGTAGATTCCAGGGAAAGAGTTCCTTCCGTTCCCCAACCCTAAACCTCACTCTAAACCTAACCCTAACTTACATTTTGGAAATTTTGTTATTTTGAGATTTCTCTAGTAATTGTAGTGTTTAGGTTTGTTTATAATTTTGGTATATTTATAAATATTATTTGGGATTGGGGAACGGGAGGAACTCTTACCGATTCTAGTTTCATGATTCATGACCTGATATTTGTAAAACTTTTAACATATTGATGTTTTCACGCAAGATCACTGAGCTATGACATTTCTGAATCCCTGTGCGTTGTCACACTGACTGGTGTTGAAATGCTTTGCTGTGATAGGACGCCCTTGGTTATTGTCCACATCGTTAGTGAGTAATGCATGTTGTTCGGGTACAAAGTGAGGGGTACGAGTTACCGACCCTGAGGCTGGTATGTCACCGTGTCGACACACATATAAACAAATCCCCGGTGGTAAAACGCGATATTGCCACAATTTTCCAAAATGTGAACTGTATCTCATCCCAAATCTGAAAGAAAGTGGTGTGAGAAAGATAGTCCATACCCACAATCCGAGGGGCGTGTCTGAGATAGATGGGTACGGGGTGTAGCGGGTGTGACATGCCTCACCTATCGGGTGCCGGGTGGGCGTGGAAATGGGCACTAGGTTATATCTAGGGTCGGTTTCTTATGTACCAGTCTTATATATCCAGAGCTTCTCGATTCTAATCTATTTAAAATCTTTTCCTCCGTTTAGCTGAGAAGTTGTCATGTTCAAGGGAGCTAACCAACAATTTAAACAACCAAATAACCATTTTATCGACAAAAAGCTCATAGAATCCTCACGGGGCAAACTACTCTCTCTTTCAACAACTGCACATTTTCACTTAAATCTGTCACCGCGTGTTTTCCGTAAACGTAAAGCAAACTTTGGACAGCTCAAACCTTTAATGCTTCCATTAGTTAGCTTGCTACAGATAACACGAAACATCCTTCTCTGTGACAAAGACAACGGAAATATGAATATGTGCCCCTTCATACCCTGCTATAATCTGTAACATTGGGTATGTGATGTAGTTTCACAGCAGTGTGTATCGACACGTTCTTCTCCCGGTGTCGTAGCTCACCTGGTTAGTCACAACGTCTTTCACTTCAACAGCAACAGCACCAGTGTGTCTAGATCATGTGTCTGTGACTATCTGTTGTAAACAAGAAACCATCATAGTTTGTACGTACAGTTTACACGCATCTCACGAACGTTCCTCTCAAGATTTTCATGCACCAAGAAAAGTACAATTGCCACAGGAAAGCAGGACGAATCGCCAGTATCCAGCTACAACACTCATGAACGTTTCTATATTTGAAATCTGTATATATTTAGTTAACATACATCACAGAATGGTCAATATTTGATGTAACTATGACACACCGGACAGTGAGCATCTGCTAACCTGTATACTCCACTGCGATGTCTACAGTACCACCATTCCTTACTGGAATGATTCATTATAAACTGGTCGAGCATTATGGCACGGACTATGTTTCTTGGTTTGTCAGCTCCTTGCCCGCGTTGCTTGTTCGGGATTCTTCCCACGTTACGCTAAGATCCTATGCTATTGCTGAAATATGTACCGATCACAGCGGGGACTCAGACGAAAGGCATCTTTTCTTCATAAAATGACTGTTCCATCTCAATTCGACATTAAACAAAAACCAGATGACCTTAATATATAAAAAATAGTTCCCCTTTTATTCATTATACTTAAAACATACATCATAATTCGTTCTTGTGTTCCATTTCTGCTTCTTTCCACCTTTGCGTGGCTGCTATATAGAGGTCGTGATCAGAGATGTTTTTACCCATGTCATAGGACTGGCGGAAGAGCTTTGCATTGATATGGTAGAAGGCCAATTCACGATCACGAAGAGGGTCATGGACACTGTGACCGTTTTCGTCAAATTTTGTTGCTGGCAATGGACAGTTCATATGGTTCTGATTAGCTTGTGCCTTCGGGAGAGGTTGGCCGGATCCCGTGGCCTCTAGTGCTTCGTAAACTCTGTCGCACAGAAAACATTCATAACCTATAAGAGCCTTGGCGAAGGTCTCACCAACAAAATTGGCGGGTGGCAGACGGCTAAGTTCTGATTTCAAAGTTGGGTTTGAAATTCCCGAATCTTTGAATTTTAGGTATGACTCGTATTCTTCGTCATTCTGGTCCAGATGTTTGATGAACTCGGCCAGCTCTTTAATGCTACTGAAATCTTCCACGAGAATCGCTGACTTGTTGGATGGCAAAAACTCCTGCAAATACATTGAACATTAAGTCGCAATTTGCATGCAGTTTTACAACATTACTACCAACAGAAACAAGAGTTCGACTGAGGACTGTTTTATGTCGAAGTCAACATTTCTCATCTAAAGCAAATCGATAAAACCATTCATTACACGAACTTTAACACGCAGTGTCATGACACCCCGATCCCGATGCCAAAAAGGAGATACTGACTACATTTTCTGACCCTATTTTCGACACGTATGCCGACTTACATCAATTGATGTTTATCTTCTTTGCGACCGATTTGATCCACCAGAGCACATATGCCGTCTCAAACGGCAATAATGACCCTTGGAGAATTAACAGTAAACATGTATACCCACACGTGATATATTGATTGCCACTTCATCTGACCACAATGTCTTTGCCAACACAATTGATCTCACCTGGACTTTAGGCGAGCCGAGTACTATAGGGACAGTTCCGGCCTGTAGAGGGCGCCACAACTTCTCCGTGATGTAGTCCTCACATCTGGCGTTCTCAAAAGCTATTGCAAACTTGTAGCGGGCAACCAGTTTAAGGAAGTTATCCTTCATGTAACCGGCTATACCATCCAAATCTTTGAATCTACACAAGAGGAAAGATGGTCATGACAGGTGGATGCACTAAACATTATTTTGTCTACAAGTATAAACTATGATAATTCCTCGGTGTATAGGTTTCTACTCGACCATTTTCACAACAGTCAATTTGCTGAACAACTCTGGAACATGCTATTAAATCTATGTAGTGTCCTACATATACATTTCGTGAATGGCGGATGTGGGCCAGACAGTTTGGGAGGACATGTCTATGGGTAATGAAAGGGCTACCGTCACAGATTACGCAATATGTTCATCGGGGTTGTTTGACGCATGCCGCAATTTCAACACAGTAACACAGAAAATCTTCACGTCATCCTCGTGTGGCTAGCTTACGCACTTCTACAAACAGTGTGAAGCCACTTCGGGACTTCCTCCCTCCTTCAGCTGACACTGTCATATACTACTCACACTTGCTAATTCGCAACTTTACTTAAACGTCGATTTGAAAATATATCCATTTAGAACTGGAAAAATAATAATATGGTAACACCTCTTTAGGCAAACAGCCACTTTAATCTAACCTTATGCACTTCATACATGAGTAACCGTAAAAATGGTTTTCATGGCACCAATCAACCATTTTGCAAATCATGGAAAGAGTCATTGATAAATAAACAACACATGTCAATAGCAGGTATGGGATCCACAAGATGCAATGCCATACTGAAATCTAGGATCCATGCTTACAATAAGATTAGATACTTAAACCAAATTTGACCCCAGATAATGGTTTTCTGTGGAATCCATGATTTGATCCTTAGCAAAGTGGGAATAGTACATAACTAGGAGAATCCAGCAAGTCAAGCAAACATATTGTTTGGTACACGTATATTCGTTTCTTTGGAACTAGGAGGCATCCACTTTTGTCGCTGCTCACTAATTATGTTCCCAGAAAGTCATTAGTTTACCTTAAAGATTTAACAAGCATTATGCGCTGTAGTGAGTGAGTGAGTATGGTTTTACGCTGCTTTTAGCAATATTTCAGCACTATCACGACGGGGAACACCAGAAATTGGCTTCGGAGATTGTACTCATGTGCGGAATCGAATCCGTGTCTTCGGCGTGACGAGCGGATGCTTTAACCACTGGGCTACCACACCGACCCTATGCGCTGTAGTAAAGGTGAGGTGAAATTGGGTTTTTTCGCTCATATGACGACTTGCATGCGTGTGTATGTGTATGTGCGGCTGCTTGTACTAGCCCAGACTGAAGCTGGTTTTGTAGTGCTAGCCCACTGCGATACCATACCGCAGTGAAACATGAATACCCCACTCAGACACATTATACTGACTCCGAGCCGACCAGTCCTTGTTGTACCCATTAATGCCGAGCGCCAGGCAGGGATCAACAAGTACCATAATTTAACGTCTTTTGGTATGACGCGGTCGGGGATCGAACCCGCGACCTTCCGCTCTCCGGGCGGACGCTCTAACCACTACACCACGGAGGCGGTTGCGCTGTAGTAAAACTACCATGCACCGGTCAATGGCAATATAAGAGGGCTATCCAAAAGTACACAGTCAACACTTACTGGCCAAGTGTATCATCCCTGTCGAGTGAGGGGCGGTGGGGTAGCCTAGTGGTTAAAGCGTTCGCTCGTCACGCCGAAGGCCCGGGTTCGATTCCCCACATGGGTACAACTTGTGAAGCCCATTTCTGGTGTCCCCCGCCGTGATATTGCTGGAATATTGCTAAAAACGGCGTAAAACCATACTCAGCCAGCCAGCCAGCCACCACACTGCACAGATACACATCAACACTCTATTTATCTGTCAATAACATACGACCCTAGCAATAGCATCATGATTGTTCTCAAATTTCTTCAGAACAACAGTCGTCAAGAAGCCCTTTCCTTACACAATCTCGTCCCAAGCCTTTGATTAATGGCTAACCGATTGTTCAATTAACGCTGCTTTACTTCAACTGACTGACTGCCAATTCGGTTTGGATCCATACAGAGATTCAATGCTGTATGACAACAGTGATCATGATTTCAACGTTGGAACAGCCAACATATTCTTTGTGACAAGCGATATTCCAACAGATCCTGCCTAAGGTAGTTACATTTGTCTACAATAGGACGTGCTCCAGTTGCTACGCTGTCAAGAAGCACCAAATGATGCCCTAAATGAAGGTTACAACATTCCATGGCTCAGTAAAGCTTTCAAAACGTTCTATAATGGACACGTGGGAACCATTTCCAGATTGTCCAATGTATTTTGATCTCTGCCATACATATTCCCGTTCGTGTTCATGAGAACAATTGGCTGTTGTCGGTACGTGTTTATGTCGGATGCCAACAGCAAGGCAGGCTACGCTCACATTTTCACCCAGTCTCATCACTGATTCATAAACAGAGGCTCATGATATAGTGCGGCTTGTGAAAAGGGCTCTTCTTCTCGCAAAGATTCCTTATTGATGGTGGAGGAGTTGTGTCTCTATCACTAGTAGTGATCATAACATTCACATACAAATTACTAACGTAGGCTGCAGAATTTCTGCTGCATTCTACAAAAACTGCTCATGGTGCAGATCATGATGTATACTTACTCCTCTGGAAAGTCCTTGTTGTGAAGACAATCGCCGTACGAATCAACATGGACGTATTTCTGGAGCATCATGACGTACTGCTCCCTGTTAGATGGTGTGCTGCAGTCGGTGTGGACAAATATAATGGGAGCTAAACCTTCCTCTCTTCTCAACAGGTTCTTTCTGTCGGTTGGGATTAAATATTTCTTACTCAGCAATGACTCTTCATTCGCAAGCCAGTGCGTGGGGATCGGATAGTCAGATCCTCGCTGAAAGGTTGCAGTGTAGTTAAACACCTCCAGGACGCTAGCGAACGTAAACATCCAATCAGTGTTCTTCGGTGACTCCTCGTGAATAAGTGCCCAAAGGTCGCCAGCTTTCCTAGGCAATGGGAGGCCACTCGAGAGGAAAAGGGTACCATAAAATCCATACACCTGAAAACAGCATGTGTTACTTGATACTAAAGAGTGCAGGTTCATCTGTTCTGTGCACATATAACGACAAGTACGAGTCACATGAATGGCTGGTGTGCTGCGGACATGAGACCAGAGAAGAAGATATTACCGTGTGTGGGGCTCTAAATGTTGCACTCCAAATCGGATGTAAAAGGAACCATGACCCTCAAGTCAGTGTCGGCTGATTCTGGGACACTGTGCAGCGGCTAACCAACATCTAGAGAACATTGAACGCTGTTGTATTTCTGAAACTGTTACCCCTTGCAATCAAAGTGATTCTTAGCATTACTCTTCACACACAGACTATAGCATGGATCGTCCGTACTAGTACAGCCCCATTTGAAAGTTAACCGGTTTCCCCAAGAAGCAGGTACAATGTTCGTTAAACCTAAACTACCTACAAACCATGACTATCTTCCAACTGCTACTCACCATGATCTCCTGTCGGCGCGGTGTTGTCTTGTTCCTGGACACAACACATCTCTGCTCCGCCTTACAGGAGATCACGTAATCAGCCTGATCACTAATCGCCTCCCACCATGTGACAACTGGCAGGTGGGCGTGACTCTCATCCGCAGTGTAGCTTGTAACTTTCCCTGCAAGGTGCAAAGACACTTTCCACATCAAAGTCCACGACCTACTTCTTCTCCTACCTCCATCTGTGTAGGTATCGACTGTCTAGACAGTGAAAGGACAGGGGTTCATACCAGATAACGTTAAATGATTCTACTTATAGTGACCCTCCCTGGTGCTTGGCATCAGAGGATAGAACAGTCGTTGGCTCGGAGTCAGTATAAAGTGTAAGGTGTCGATGCTAAACTGTGGCATGGTATCATGGGCGTGCATTATAAAACCGGTACAAACCAGGACAGGTACATGCAGCTACAAAAGAACACAAACATGCTAAAATAATCAACTCATCGCAAAATACCATGATGTTTTAGACTACAAGGCCATACGTCAGATAGCATTATCATGTCACTGCTCTAGTGAAAGGTAATCAACCAATACACGGATTTCTGGATCAACTTACCATCAACTGTTATAGAAATACTTGTTAGTAGGATCAAGAGAACGAGCCAGTCTGAAACATAAAGATGTCAATAATGAGATCATGATGGGAAGACTACGATATCCTGAAGCCCAGCCTCTAAGGGCGAGTGCCGACACTCACAAAAATCTGGAGGTGTAATCTGCCTGATATCGGGACGGTGCTCATACCTGGTTGAACACTACGGACAAGTCAGGTGTATTTGAAGCAGGGAGAATAGAAGACGGGCAGTGGTCTCTCCTCGACAAACCTCTTAGGGTATGTCTCGAATCATCACGTGATCAGTTTAGCCAAGAAAACGTCTTTCTTTCTTGTTGATCTTAGTATTTGACAAAACTGGAAAGGTCTTTACAACGCTTTGTGATTGTTCTAAACTTTCTGTATTTGAGGGGTGTGTGACAGTGTCAGTTAACATTCCGTCAATGTCCATGCCATTCCACACATGCAATAAGATATCTGAAGGCTAAATTACTAATGTAAAAAACGTCTCAAAGTAGATTTAAAAGAATTATTGACAGCTGAGTTATCACATGTGTTCTAGCGATAGTTTTGTGGTCTTTAAAATGTTTGGGGAGGGGTGGCCGGGATGTATGATTTATTCTTTATTCATTCACATATGTATTTCTTTCTTTTGTTCTTTTTCTTTATTTCTTTCTTTTATTCACATATAATTCTAGCTTTTAATTCTTGCTATAATTTATTAATTAATTCATTCATTCATTGTAAAATTTTGAAGATAATTTAGAAATTGAGAAAAAGGCAAGGGGAACTCATAAGTATCAACATAAACAGAAAAGCATTGAAACATAGTGAGACAGTTCAATGCGTAACAGATCACTTCAAACATATATCATAATAGCACTGTACAGATCTGTGTAAATAGAAACATGCATGATCATATTGACAGTATAGCTTATGCTTGCAAAGAGTATGCCGATTGTTTCCGACTGATATAATAAACTGGCTGAAGTACTGTTATACGCAACCGAAGTTGCGCTGGGAACGAACCAAGTCACTGTGTGAGTTGGACCATGACGAGGCACACACTAATTAGTACAAATGGTAGAGAAAGCATGCGAGTGACCTATCCCGGCTGTAGATTATCCCTGTTTGAAGTAATGGAGTCAGTAAGGTTTTACACCGTTTATGCACTGTTACAGAAACGGGATTCACATGCCTCTGTCGGAAACCTAACTGAGCTTTGGTGTGTGGGAAATTTTCCACTGAACTTCACCACTACACCCTGGCTCAAGATCTCACTCACTAACTCCGAAAACCTGCTCACTCATTATCCTATCCTCACCTAAACAGGCGAAACTCACTCACCCACTGTCCGGAACGAAGACCTACTCAAACACCCCCAGCTGCCCCACCCCCATTCACCCAACACTCGATAATACGATCTCCCATGGGCCTGGTCCTCGAGTAAACAATGAGTCACCGTATACAGTAACCGGCTTGGCATACAGTAACCGGCTTGGCATATAGTAACCGACTAACCGATTACGTCAAATTGGTACTGCGCCTCGATTCCACGTCTCTCTGTCGACAGGCACATATAGTCCGTTTGGGTTCAAATGAGAACGATGAATGATTAAATACCTCGAAATAGGGATCAGTGTACAAAACATAAATAAGACACATGGTCCTGAAACCTCTGTATCCAACAGGATCTGGTGGAACAGCACCAGCACACATTCAGGTGCAACTCAGCACAGCCAGGTGAGATGATCCCACCTAGTCAGGTGCTGTTCCATCAGCCGTTTGTCACCCCGCGGTATGATAGTTTCTTAAACCACTTTTTCCGTGATCGATCAAAAAAAGTCAGATTTCAGATCCTGTTGGGTACAGAGGTTTTAGGGCCATGTGTTTTATTTGTTTGGTGCACTTATCCCTATTTCGAGATATTTAATCATCTGTCGTTCTCATTTGAATCCAAACGGACTACCCCGTGTACCCGGCGGTCATATAACCTAATACACCATTCTGTGAGATAAGGCTCTCTCCACTTATCACGCCGAGGACAGCGAGGTAGATCACTAGATGTACTTTACAAGTTTCACGGTCCTCCAAACTGATGCATGTCACGTGGGATAAACAGGTAATTAGATCTAATCAATAGATAAGGTTGCATATTGATAGAAAACGACACAACTTACCTGGGCGAAGCATAACGATCTCCATGCATTCACAGCCCACGTTACAACCAGAGTATAGTGCAGCAGTACCAACATGTCTTCCCTAAAATACCGCCCGAACGCAGTTGCGTCCCTTCGCGCCTGGGTGTCGCTACCCGCAGAACCCGTTTGAAGCTGGTGCAGTTGTTCGGTTCTCCTCCGTGAACCGATGCATGACTGACTGGGTTTACATTTGCGCGCGTCTTGCGATTACTTATTTCGGTGTGGGGGTTGGAGGTGGGGTGAGGGGTGGGTGTGGTTGGGGTGGTAAGAGTTCCTTACGTACCCCCCACCTAATTTTTTCAAACAATACAAAGATATACAAGTAGTGAAAAGTACCTTATAAAATAGGCGGGGGGTACGTAAGGAACTCTTTCCGAATCCCTTGTAAATCACTTGAGATTGCTTCAATATAAAGTCTGTTTGTATTGTCCGACAAGTGCACGGATAATGCACATTGCCCCGGCGGTTACATGGGTCACGTGTACCGACCTACGACTAAAGTTATGATTTCACTCTGCAAACAGACAAAGAAGATGATCACTGGGCCTATGTTGCTCAAGGTGGCATTGAACTTCACTCATTTGTGAATGTTATCTCTGGAAAACTACAGTAATGTAAAAATATATAACTATAAACTTCTATTGAATCTTAATATAAATAATGTGAAGCAAAGACATTCATCAGCATTATATCTAACTGTCACTAAACACCACTGCATCCACATTACATACAAATCTGAGGCGGTGGGGGTAGCCTAATGGTTAAAGCGTTGGCTCGTCACGCCGAAGACCCAGGTTCGAATCCCCACATGGGCACAATGTGTGAAGCCCATTTCTGGTGTCCCCCGCCGTGATGTTGCTGGAATATTGCCAAAAGTGGCGTAAAACTAAACTCAGTCAGTCAGTTACATACAAATCTACGGAAACCTGACGCTGCCACTTTCGTGGCCTCAGTTATTTTTGTAGTGACATTTTTCGCTTCCATTATTTTCTCGCTGCTTTAATGTTTTCTTGTTGCCTTGATTATTTAATCTAAAGTTCGAAATAAATGGTTGAAATAACGAAAACATAATCGAAGCAACGAGAAATTTCGCGTAAAAGTGGCAGCATTAAGCTTTCGTACAAATCAAGGTCATCTATAGATGAGAATGCCTCAACAATGGGATCTCCCGTTCCCGAACATACTGTGCAGTGTGACACGCTGTACGTCACAACACGTCTGTCAAGTCATCCCTATGGATACCTGGTGTATAATGAGTGCGTCCCATAAAGCCAGTAGTACACGCTTCACGAGGCCCAGGTAGTACAGACGCACCATTCTACACCTCCGGGTTCGCCAGCAGAAGCAATTGCAAATATGAGTAGAGACGAGACACTTGGCTTCAGAAGGTAGGGTTTTTCTCATAAGCATTTTTGTCAAGTAGATGAGAACTAGACTAAGGCGGCAATCTGAATAGAAACATGTCTTCTTTGGCCTGATGGTCGAATATGGAATATGGTGTGATTTAAGTCATTACGTTGTACAATTAACCCGTAGTATGCAGTGAGCAAATATCACTTGATAGTGTCATATATGCCTGCGACGGAAACATTATGCAGAAGTATGTTTCCTTACTTCCTTTTGGAGGTCAGACACCTAGAACTCAGCCATTTGAAACATCCACTTGTAGATCTCCCAAAATTTCAACCATGCCGAGAAACCTCCTTTATCCAACAAACAAGGGCAATATTTTCATCACTGCAAAAATAATATATGTGTTTACACGCTTGGCTATGGGCTTCCTACCAAGCCCCGCTGTCCCTGTACAGCTTTCTGTGTCCGTCCCAATAGCATAAGGTTGTCATCATGGCAAAAATACCATTATTACAATTATTATTCTAATGTAGATGCTAGATGAATCCGGATATAGAATCGTTTAGAAAACCGCTGAAGTGAAAACAGTTATAGCACAACAACACTCTCTCCTTGATGGGCATCTATGTGCGTCCTATCGTGCGTGCAGCTGAAGGGAGACTTATGTAACGACGAGATGGCACGTCAACCTCAGTAAACTGCTTTACATGAGAGCAAATAGGGGAACAGTGACAGCTTGTTTATAGACCTTGCCACAATGTGGACAGGAGAGACATACGAGTCTACACAAGGTCAGTAACTGTGTCAGGGAGCTGTTATTATCCACCGTGACAATCAAATACTGGAGAGGGACAAGCCACTGCTTACAATATATTCAGTTTAAATCATCTTCTTTGATACTGGCTAAGCTGTTGTGGACTTGGTAATTAACGTGAAAACCCATTTATACGTGCACAGCTTGTCATCAACTTGTCATCCACTTGTCATCGACTCACATATATGCGTTAATACACTTGTTGGTACATAAGATGCAAAATAATTTCGGATTAAATTGAAATTACCAACTGACTTCTTTTAGTTGTGTTATAGCGAGGATAGTGAAAGTGAGGGAGCGTATTTTCAGTTATATGAAGGTTAAATATGTTATATACGGCAATGCCAGGATGCAGTGCAGTGGATATACATGTCTGTTTCAGAAACACTCCTGTTGAAGGAATCAGCTTTACCTTAAACGAGAAATTATATAGAGGTATGACGATATTCCATGTTTCTTACTTTATCATAAAGGATGGTAATCCTTGCACTTGAGTTAAAAACGACCCATCTTTTTAATTGTTAAAAATATGAAATATAATGAAAATGGCGAAATCAGTTCTTGATAAGAAAAAGAAACAGTTGCAATGGGTCCGATCCGTGTGCATGCTGCTAGCAATAAAACATATTCCATTCCCTCTCGATCTGTGTGTCGGTGTGAATGATGAAAGGCAGACTGCCACCATTTCCTTCAGCATACCTCCATCCCCACTCGATTATGAATATAGCTTATGCTAAACGGCGCTAAAGTCGATCAAATCAGCCGGAGGAGGTGGCTCATGACGTTAATCACTGTTTTGTCAAGATGGAATATTACTGAGGTCCCGTTAGAGAGGAAGAAAACAAAAATAAGATAGAAAAAGAAAGTTTCCCACCACGCAAAACCTCTCTGATTATTGCTTCTATATTTGTGTTAAATGCCTTGATGTGAATGGTCGTGAGGGTGCTGAGTGCTGGATGTTGCAGCAGCATAGCGACAAGGGCGATCCAGTCGTCGGAGTCTCAAGACGTAGTTATATCTTGAAATCTACTAGCACATTCGTCTTGAGATGTAATGTTTATCTGTCACCACCGTACCTATTGTCGAGGGCTTCATTATCTTCTGTGTATTGGTAGCTGACAGTGTCTATGACGTGACGACATCCCTCAACGACTACATCCGTGACGGCGCGGGTCTGCCGGGGACCAAGGTGATGTGTAAGGAGGGAGGGTGTGGCTGCTGCGCCGTCACCGTCACCAAGCCGGACCACAGCACCGGGAAGGACACCTCGTTTTCTATCAACTCCGTAAGTGTAGGGAACCACTGTATCATGTTCAGGTACAATTGTATCGTTGTATTTCTAAACCGTTCGATACACTGATCTCAGGGCAATGGATATTTGTAGTAGTAAGAATTCCAACACTCTGAAGATTCTTGAAACTCCACAATCAACCAATCAATTTAACTCAAGATTTCATCATTACAAAGTAAAGCAACACTCATATCAACAAGTGAACCTTCATGTCAAAAAGTTGAGAACAGCTGAACTTGTAAATGTTAGCATTTACAACATCGTTTAAGGGGGCTCGGTGTATTGCTAATATCGTCCATTATCTCCCCCAGTGTCTATGTCCCCTCTACTGTGTGGACGGCTGGAAAATCACCACGACGGAGGGTCTGGGGAACTCCAAAGATGGATTCCACCCAATACAGAAGAGAATCGCTGAGTTCAACGGCACTCAGTGTGGCTACTGTACACCGGGGATGGTCATGAATATGTATGGGTAAGTGTGGCTACTATACACCAGGGATGGTCATGAATATATATGGGTAAGTGTGGCTACTGTACACCAGGGGTGGTCATGAATATGTATGGGTAAGTGTGGCTACTGTACACCAGGGATGGTCATGAATATGTATGGGTAAGTGTGGCTACTGTACACCAGGGATGGTCATGAATATGTATGGGTAAGTGTGGCTACTGTACACCAGGGATGGTCATGAATATGTATGGGTAAGTGTGGCTACTGTACACCAGGAATGGTCATGAATATGTATGGGTAAGTGTGGCTACTATACACCAGGGATGGTCATGAATATGTATGGGTAAGTGTGGCTACTGTACACCAGGGATGGTCATGAATATGTATGGGTAAGTGTGGCTACTGTACACCAGGGATGGTCATGAATATGTATGGGTAAGTGTGGCTACTGTACACCAGGGATGGTCATGAATATGTATGGGTAAGTGTGGCTACTGTACACCAGGGATGGTCATGAATATGTATGGGTAAGTGTGGCTACTGTACACCAGGGATGGTCATGAATATGTATGGGTAAGTGTGGCTACTATACACCAGGGATGGTCATGAATATGTATGGGTAAGTGTGGCTACTGTACACCAGGGATGGTCATGAATATGTATGGGTAAGTGTGGCTACTGTACACCAGGGATGGTCATGAATATGTATGGGTAAGTGTGGCTACTATATACACCAGGGATGGTCATGAATATGTATGGGTAAGTGTGGCTACTGTACACCAGGGATGGTCATGAATATGTATGGGTAAGTGTGGCTACTGTACACCAGGGATGGTCATGAATATGTATGGGTAAGTGTGGCTACTGTACACCAGGGATGGTCATGAATATGTATGGGTAAGTGTGGCTACTGTACTCCAGGAATGGTCATGAATATGTATGGGTAAGTATGGCTAGCGTACACCAGGGATGGTCATGAATATGCATGGGTAAGTGTGGCTACTGTACACCAGGGATGGTCATGAATATGTATGGGTAAGTGTGGCTACTGTACACCAGGGATGGTCATGAATATGTATGGGTAAGTGTGGCTACTGTACACCAGGGATGGTCATGAATATGTATGGGTAAGTGTGGCTACTCGTACACCAGGGATGGTCATGAATATGTATGGGTAAGTGTGGCTACTGTACACCAGGGATGGTCATGAATATGTATGGGTAAGTGTGGCTACTGTACACCAGGGATGGTCATGAATATGTATGGGTAAGTGTGGCTACTGTACACCAGGGATGGTCATGAATATGTATGGGTAAGTGTGGCTACTGTACACCAGGGATGGTCATGAATATGTATGGGTAAGTGTGGCTACTGTACACCAGGGATGGTCATGAATATGTATGGGTAAGTGTGGCTACTGTACACCAGGGATGGTCATGAATATGTATGGGTAAGTGTGGCTACTGTACACCAGGGATGGTCATGAATATGTATGGGTAAGTGTGGCTACTGTACACCAGGGGTGGTCATGAATATGTATGGGTAAGTGTGGCTACTGTACACCAGGGATGGTCATGAATATGTATGGGTAAGTATGGCTACTGTACACCAGGGATGGTCATGAATATGTATGGGTAAGTGTGGCTACTGTACACCAGGGATGGTCATGAATATGTATGGGTAAGTGTGGCTACTGTACACCAGGGATGGTCATGAATATGTATGGGTAAGTGTGGCTACTGTACACCAGGATGGTCATGAATATGTATGGGTAAGTGTGGTTACTGTACACCAGGGATGGTCATGAATATGTATGGGTAAGTGTGGCTACTGTACACCAGGGATGGTCATGAATATGTATGGGTAAGTGTGGCTACTGTACACCAGGGATGGTCATGAATATGTATGGGTAAGTATGGCTACTGTACACCAGGGATGGTCATGAATATGTATAGGTAAGTGTGGCTACTGTACACCAGGGATGGTCATGAATATGTATAGGTAAGTGTGGCTACTGTACACCAGGGATGGTCATGAATATGTATGGGTAAGTGTGGCTACTGTACACCAGGGATGGTCATGAATATGTATAGGTAAGTGTGGCTACTGTACACCAGGGATGGTCATGAATATGTATGGGTAGGTGTGGTTACTATATAAAAGGAATGGTCATGAATATGTATGAATAAGTGTGGCTACTGTACACCAGGGATGGTCATGAAAATGTATGGGTAAGTGTGGCTACTGTACACCAGGGATGGTCATGAATATGTATAGGTAAGTGTAGCTACCAGAAATATTTCAAAATGATACAAAATGATGCTATTTACTACATGTTACAATTCGGTGAAACGTCACCTAAGGCTTTGTAAGACAATATATAGTACTTGATGACCACAAGTGATATGCCAAATACAGGTTACTGCATCAGAAACCTGACCTGACAAAACAAGATATCGAGGACAATTTCGACGGCAACATTTGTCGCTGTACAGGGTACCGACCGATCCTGGACGCCATGAGGACCTTCGCTGGGGCCACTACTGTTGGGCAGGGTTTAGACATTGAGGTGGGTGGAGTGTTGGGAATCGGTTAAGATCTCATAATTGATGATTGGTGCTTTACAACCGATCAGTCATCGAAAATAATTGGTCTGCGTCATTTATCAAATGTTCCTTAACATTGAAGGAAAACCAAGTTCTGTGGATTGTCAACTTCTTTATTGCGATGAGTGCGACGTTTCGGTGTAGTTACTAACACCGTTATCAAGCAAGTGACTTTACCCATCACTTGCTTCATAACGGTGTTAGTACCTACACCGAAACGTCGTACTCATTGCAATAAAGAAGTTGACTATCCACAGAACTTTGTTTTCCTTCATCTATACAACTTCTAAAATGCCTTTCAAAGAAGTTCCTGAACATTATCCTTGTTATGCACAAACAATAATTGCAAAAGTTCACATATTTAAAGGATGACTAGTATGTCAGGAACATACATTTCCTGGATAAATTAAATCATTTAATCGGACCAGTCCAGTGTCCACTCTAAACCGTAGTTAAGGGGCCCCTATGTGCCTGTGTGTAGACGATGTCTGTCAAGACGATGTCAGTCTAACGTTCCCCTGGCACTGATGTGAGTGAGTGAGTGAGTTGGGTTTTACGCCGCTATTTGCAGTATTCCAGCAATATCAAGGCGGGGAACACCAGAAATTGGCTTCACTTAATGTGCCCATGTGGGGAATCGAACCCGGGTCTTCAGCGTGACGAGCGAACGCCTTAGCCACCCCACCGCCCTCTGTGACTGATGCACCTCTCGTGACGAACATGATCATGACATGTACATTGTTAATGGATGGTGAGTATTGCGAATTCATCCTTGGAAACCTCGAAAGATGCTTTGTCGCCCAATACACCACTGTACCATTATTCATTTTCATTCTTCTTCGCAGCGCAAGAAGGGGTTGAAAAGACATGTTTAGAAAACTTGTTCACATGCAAAGCAAAATATTAAAATTACTAACAGATAAAGTATACTTTGCATCAACTATGTATTAAGTACATATTCCAAATATGATCCCATTTAAATCTACAAAATGTAAAACGAGGCATGATTCATTTGTTACCATGACTACTAGGGTTTGGAATTGGTTGAAATCTCACAATTGATGATTGGTTCAATACCAACGACCAATCATAGGAAAAAAATTGTTTAGCGTCATGTTTTAGATTTTCCTATTCAGGTTGTAGTTGCAGATAAGTGTAAAGAAAAAACATTTGGTTCTCTGTTACATTTGCAGATTTCACATCCAGTGTAAAATGATTCAGTTTCAGTGTAACATTAACTTCCCAGATTCTTCAAGAAATATTCAGTCATGACTTTTCAGAAAGTGAAGTGAGTTTTCTTAGAAATTAACACGTTTTCCGGCCCTGACAACGTCCTAGATATGTTCCATCATCAAGTATTTCAAACTCTATTACAGAGGTTCCAAAATCGTTTGTGCTCGATTATGAGAAAATGTGATCGATTGCTTGGTCGTTTGGCCACTGCGACCAATCTTCGATTATTTCAATTAATCGGACCACCACTAATTACCTACAATATACAATACAGGACATAGAGTAAACCCACCAAGTGTTTGGACCTTGGTGCATCAGTCCAGACACCGACAAGCTGTATTTTCTGGAACTGCAATAATTCAGTATCGGTGTCACCTTGCTACCAACTATGCAGTTTCATATTTTGCCTATACTTCCAACATCGGACACAGTCTCCTCATTCTCATGTTCTACAACTTTGCCGTGAACATACTTTGGTTTTAGGATCTTTCGAAGTCATCTTGTGAACGCACCGGCAAGTCGTGTACTGGTTGTCAGAGTAACGGTTCCTGCAATGGCGATACAAAACATACCAGCAAAGCGGATGACAACCACAGAATGTTCCATATTGTCAGAGGGGACACTGAATGGTTCCGACCCAGGTCACTAGACCAGCTGTGCCACGTGATTACCAGGAATGGCAAGACTCGCAAAGTATGCCAAGTCGCCGGCAACACTGCCTCGGGTAAGTTATCTCCATACGATTGAAGCTTACCTACTAACGGGCTGTGTTAGCGTGTGATCGCAACACTGCCTCGGGTAGGTTATCTCCATACGATTGAACCATACCTACTAACGGGCTGTGTTAGCGTGTGATCGTGTCAGGATGGTTCACTGTTACTGGCCAGAGCTTTCACAAATATACATTCTGTTGTTACGAGGTGTACTTGTTACAGTGAAACCCTCTATAACCCTCTTTGGACTATCCCAACTCCATTTAGGGATTTCCTGTTATAGAGGTATCACTGTCGTCTTGTCTTGTTTCATTAACCTTAATATAATATGGCTTCTAGGTTCAAATATACTTATGGAAACGAATAAGGGAACATATGACAGACAGACAGACAGATTTATTCAATAAAGAGACCTTGGGCCCATGATACATACTTTCCTGGTCATATCATATAATAAATGGGTGAGAATATAACTGCAGAGCAGGCACAGGTATGCACATTTCTAATAAATATTATATGGACAACAAAATGCATTTTTAAATTGTTGGTTATAAATGATGCTGAGCCTTACTGTTTACCAGTGATAACTGAAGGGCTAAGTGCTTTGGTTTAATAGTATTGGGTCACAGTTTCCATACTTTATATAAATACATACATTTACTAGACATTACCGAGTACCAGTAATAACTGCAAGGCTAAGTGGTTATGGATTAATAGTGTTGACTCTGTCGGAACATATGAAAGTACAAGTGTTCCTTTATTAATTGCCAGAATTTCGCCCACAGTGCAATACATGCCTTGTGAAGAAACCTGGAAAAGAATAAAGGAACACTTGTGCTTTCATGTGTTCTCTGATTCGTTGTCATGAGTATATAATGGAATCTGCTAGGTGTTATACATGGAATAGAAAGATGAGACTAGTCACATATAATATTTGTTGTGCTAGTACCCGTACAGCGCAATAGTTACCTTATTGGATTTCATTTTTATGATTTCAGGAATTTACAAGCACGATGAACCTTTTGACACCTACGTGGACCTACAGGACATACAGGAACTTTACACAACTCAGGTTAAACGCCATTTCCTAATATTACATAGCATACATCCGTATCATTTGAAATTTATACATGTATTGCAGACATCTAAGGTAAATATATACGAAAACCACTGCAAATTCTGCAGCCATTGCAGTTCAACATTTTGGATATACCCTTTTCGCGGTAACCGCTTGCTTGATGACATTAAAGTCAATTCAAAGTCCACTATAAAGGGCAAGGGTGCTGCTTGCTTCGTTCTCCCGGGTTCAAAGCATGTCACTACTCAAACCACCCATTTGATGGTGCTCTACAGTTGTGTTCGACGTCTCTACAGCCTAGTGTCTATGACGTACATTTTGATTGCTAGACTCGGAGGTCCAGTGTGGTGGTCGGCTCCAACGTGACGCTCACTGTGCTGATGGAGACGTTGTTACAGTTCGCCCCTGGACAGGGATACTTGTATTTCACGGATATCGTCGCACACCTACGGATGGTCGGCAATGTCTTAGTCAGAAATGTAAGTAGAATGAGGTGCTGTTAATTTACTTCCTTACAATCTCAAATTGTCAGGACCTATGATTCCGTTTCGCTGATGCCACATGTACAATATTATTGACATATTATTTCATTGTGCCTGTTCCATTTCAGACACGAGTATAACAACAGTTGTTATATACAACAGTTACCACCTAAGAAGTTGTGTTTGTATTCTGACTGACAAGTATGACAGTTACTACAGACAGATAGACAGCCTGCTGCCAGACATATTGTATTGATATAGTCATAGTTGATTCATGTCACACTTATATTTTACTGTGACGAGATCTGAGGTGGAGACGTAGTGGACATTCAGTTAAAAATCAAACTCGTCTTTTTAATTTTCTATACAATACGTAAACAGCATTTACACTCAATGAATCACATTGCTGCAATTCAACAGTTAACTGGTATTGTACCCACACATTTCTATAAGATTACCTCTGGCTATAGCATGTCTGAAGAAAACCCTTATATACCAGTGTGTTGTGCGGACAGGAATGATAGTCGCTGTACTATGCAAATAGGTCACGAAGTGTGTTTGAATGTTGATGCTAACCGCGCCAGGCTTATACCTGTGATGCATGTAACAAATGGATATGAAGAATATTTATAGGTGTTTTCCATATAATCCAAGTTTATACTACTACGACAAAACTGTAACAAACCATGTGGTCCTGCAGGCGGGCACGTGGGCCGGGAACCTGATGGTCAAGTACCACCACCCTGAGTTCCCGTCCGACGTCTTCACCCTGCTGGAGGCTGTGTCGGCGCGTGTACACGTCCTGGGTGAGTTGCCATGGCAAATACAGGGGACGCCGGACAGGTTCCCAGGGTAACTGCAAGGGATATATCGCACACATTTCACAAGTTGAATGTTTTCAATACATTACTTTCCATACATACACGCTTACACAGTATTGTGACTGTAGGTAGAGACCGTGTGTACTGACTGACTGAGTTTGGTTTTACGCCGCTTTTAGCAATATTCCAGCAACATCACAGCAGGGTACACCAGAAATGGGCTTCACACATTCTGCCCATGTGGGGATTCGAACCCGGGTCTTCGGCGTGACGAGCCAACGCTTTAACCATTAGGCTACCCCACCGCCCCAGATCGTGTGTAATTAATCTATGTTGATAATATCAGAGAAAATTTACGACCGCGCTGTAATCAAGTATCTCCAAGTGAAATGTCTAACTGAAGCAGCTATACGTGTGGACAGGGTGTCAACTTAAGGATCTATTACTCAGTCAATTATTGTTTGCCACTGTTCAGAGTTGGGCTGGAGAGCCCAAAAGGGGAAGAGATACCCTAACTGATTATACAGGGCCAGGAGGACCTTCAGCTCCCACCACGGTGGACACAATTGATAGATTACGTCATATGATAGTAATGAATGTCCATTCAACAAACTTCCCATAGTCAGTATAACAGATATTGAGTTGAAAACACTCTGAGGAATGGCTTCAGCAAGTTCGGTTCCCAAGGCCTTTGTCTCCTGACCAGAATAGACGCAGGTTCATCACAGCTGATATTGTTGCACAATTATAGCTAATCGTGGAGGGGTCTTGGCTTCCTCACTAGCGACACGGAGAACATATATAACGTTCGTCGTAGTAGGCAAAGTCTAATTCATCAGCTCTGTTGCCTACCTCTCGAGATTGCACCAATATGCAGTATTACATTGATATACTTGGGTATCTGCGTGAGTATAGTTATGATAAAACTTGGTAAACTCAGTAAATGCATATTCGTGTAGAAGTGTGTTGTCGCAATTTGGTTGTAAAGGCATTGCAAGTCATCCGTTGAAACAGATTTGACTTCGATGTACAATTTATAGATGCCTTTAGGTATTTTGTGACTCCAGGGCATAAATGATCCCAGTCATTCCATCCATTTTTTAGGGACAATACATTGACATTCAAACGGCTCTATAAGTTTGCTGTGGAATTGATATGATAATCTGTCTAAGGCTAGAGTCAGGTAGTGGAGCTTAATAAAATATTGCACAGCGAGGGCACCTGCACCAAACGTTCGGCCTTCATTCACGTTCCTCACATGTTTACAATACACGAAGCCCAATGTCTTTTGTTCCTTGCCTTGGTGTATCCCAGATCACAGCACCGAGACTGAGAGTGACCACGGCCTCACAGAGTTCCTTCAACTGGACATGTCTGGGAAGACCATCACGCGTCTAGAGCTGTTTCAGCTAGATAGCAGGACCCGTGTCCAGTCTTTCAAGATATCGCCCAGACATCAGGTACTTCTCCATCAACTAACATTATATCGAAGTGCGACACAAGCGGATTGCCAAGGCATTCCTGAGGGAACATGCGTGTAATGTACGATATAATGAGGTCACGTGTATCAAAGTAACATTGTTAGATGTATCTAAAGACAAGAGTTTTATGGATCACAACTTCTTTATTGTGAAGGGTCACGACGTTTCGAAGTATGTTCTTACTCTTTCATCAGGTGAATGAAACAATTAGGAACAAACAGCTATATATCTACATGTTGAAACAACAACAGTATAACAAATGAAGCCAGTAGTTAGTTGGTGGATGGACAAGTGGAAGCCAGGGATTGTTAATCAAGGCATGATTGATAAGAAAGACAAATAGAAGCCAGGGGATATAATTCAAAGACTCTAGCTGTATCTAGTTAATAATGCAAGATGTATCGAGGTAACAGAGTTTGATAAAGCCATGTAGGTACATTTACAGCAATGTTACGACATGTAATTCCATCGCAGGCACAACTATGATGCTGTAGGTACTACAAGGGCAATTGTTCACGAATACCTCTACCGACGAAAATTGAGATTCCCATTCACAAGTTGACATATCAAAGTCCCGGATTCAGGAGATTGCTGGACACAGTTTGGTTGTGACAGTACTTCCAGTGACTGTCTCGTATAATCTTATAAACTTTGTTCAACATCTTTTGATCTGTCAGTTTCTTATCGGGCCACGTACATCTACGGTACACCAATACTCCGATTAATTGATTCAGAGTTTACAATATGCAGGAATCCAAGCCTTAAAGTGAACTTTGTTATAACGCCTGTTTGTACTAGAATGCCCACGCCTATGTGAATGCAGCCTTCTGCATGGTCGTGGATTCCCAGAACAGGGTGGTAGGCCGCCCGTCTTTGGTCTTCGGCGGTATTAGTCCCAACACGGTGAGATATTGGTGTATTCTATACGATACATTAATTTAACTAAATGAAGCATACAGCTTTACGCAACTTCTTGTTTATTGCGTAGAGCTTGACAACGGTGTAAGATTCCACATCAAACCGTTTTTGACTCACCAACTTCTAGAATGCCGATCAAACAATTAGAAATGTCATACTGTGTTTAAGTGTATATAATATTATAAATTAATTACCAGAAATGGTTAGGACACAAACTATATTGTGATCATACAGACAGGCTATTGAAGGGGTTAGAATGTACAACAACTTATCTTATTGTAGATCCATGCCAGTAAAACTGAGGATCTGATGATGGGTAAATGTCTGTCAGACGCATCGTTGTTGCAAGGTAGGTGGATAAACATCTGTCGGCCATATCGTTGTTGAAAGGTAGGTGGATAAACATCTGTCGGCCATATCGTTGTTGCAAGGTAGGTGGATAAACATCTGTCGGCCATATCGTTGTTGCAAGGTAGGTGGATAAACATCTGTCGGCCATATCGTTGTTGCAAGGTAGGTGGATAAACATCTGTTGGCCATATCGTTGTTGCAAGGTAGGTGGATAAACATCTGTCGGCCATATCGTTGTTGGAAGGTAGGTAGGTGGATAAACATCTGTCGGCCATATCGTTGTTGAAAGGTAGGTGGATAAACATGTTTCAGACATATCGTTGTTGAAAGGTAGGTGGATAAACATCTGTCGGCCATATCGTTGTTGCAAGGTAGGTGGATAAACATCTGTCGGCCATATCGTTGTTGCAAGGTAGGTGGATAAACATCTGTCGGCCATATCGTTGTTGAAAGGTAGGTGGATAAACATCTGTCGGCCATATCGTTGTTGCAAGGTAGGTAGGTGGATAAACATCTGTCGGCCATATCGTTGTTGAAAGGTAGGTGGATATACATCTGTCGGCCATATCGTTGTTGCAAGGTAGGTGGATAAACATCTGTTGGCCATATCGTTGTTGCAAGGTAGGTGGATAAACATCTGTCGGCCATATCGTTGTTGAAAGGTAGGTGGATAAACATCTGTTGGCCATATCGTTGTTGAAAGGTAGGTGGATAAACATCTGTTGGCCATATCGTTGTTGCAAGGTAGGTGGATAAACATCTGTCGGCCATATCGTTGTTGGAAGGTAGGTAGGTGGATAAACATCTGTCGGCCATATCGTTGTTGAAAGGTAGGTGGATAAACATCTGTTTGCCATATCGTTGTTGAAAGGTAGGTGGATAAACATCTGTCGGCCATATCGTTGTTGAAAGGTAGGTGGATAAACATCTGTCGGCCATATCGTTGTTGCAAGGTAGGTGGATAAACATCTGTCGGCCATATCGTTGTTGGAAGGTAGGTAGGTGGATAAACATCTGTTGGCCATATCGTTGTTGAAAGGTAGGTGGATAAACATCTGTCGGCCATATCGTTGGTGAAAGGTTGTTGGGTAATGCCACACAGTGTTATGGCACGGTAGGTAGAAAATATATCTTTCTGGCATTGTTGTTTGCAATGTTGGTGCATTCACGCCTATTGCCAGGGGAGTGGGTGAGTGAGGGAATTGAACGTGTAACGTCATGGCTGACCTGTACGACATCTGCACGGTGTATGGAGGGACTTCCCGTATGAATGGAACATTGGTTTGGAAAACAGCGTGACATCCTTCTTATAATTCTCTTACTCACCAAACTGAATAGATAATGTCTATGGATTCCTGGATTCCCATTATGCCAAGCTTTTGGTAAGTGCTGACTGCTCAGTGACAGATAGTTGTCATGTTTCAGCGACTGTGTAGGGCGTCATTCATGATGTCAACATCCTGCTTTTACTGACCCAGATTGTTCCAACCCTTGAAGGTCCGGGTTAGAATGATCCTTCAGTAACCCATGCTTGCGTAAGAGGCGACTAACGGGATCGGGTGGTCAGGCTCGCTGACTTGGTTGACACATGTCAATGTATCCCAATTGCGTAGATCTATGCTCATCCTTTTGATCACTGGATTGTCTGGTCAAGACTATTATTTACAGACAACCGCCATAAAGTTGGATTATTACTGAGTGTGGCGTAAAACTAAACTCACTCACTCACTCACCAGATTGTCCAAGGCTGCCATAAAACAGCTGCCTTGTTACCCACTCGCTCAAATTTTCCTGTTTTAGACTAGACATTTCCACTCAACTTTACTCAATACATTGACGATGGTCATTTTGTTTCTTAATTAAATTCTCATAAAAATCGACTTATATCGTCTACCAATATGTGTGTTTGTCTAGATATCCTAAAGTATCTGTTCGCTGAACTACAACCAACACAACAAAAGCTCTCGGCCAGCCCAGAATACAGGCGCCAGTTGGCTGTAAATCTCTTCTATAAGGTATTACCATTATATGAGTGGTGGTTGTCGGTTTTGTTTACTAAAAACATATTTTCAATACGTTTGTGGAGTAAAATAAACGCAACATTCAGTGTGCATACTGTATAAATCCGAAATGCAGATTTACTGAAAGTATACATACTAGGTTGTACGTTGACATGTCCGAAAACTGGCCAGATGAATACATTGATATTGTATCTCCTAAACCTTCGGAATGGGAAAAGAATACCCGAATACACAAGTGATCAAATTTCAGTTTCTCCTAAACCTTCGGAATGGGGAAGAGGGAGATAACTCTTACCGCCCTCTGTCGACAAGTCGACAAACTTTCGAGAACGTTCCGTCTGAATGGCCTTTGAAGGAGCCGATGCCGAAACTGACCGCTCCGCTACAGGTGTGTGGAAACAATGTCTTCTAAAAGGGTGATGTGACAGATATCGTGGTGATGGCGTTTGATTTTGGAGGAGGGCCATTAATTTCAGTCCTACAATACAGAGCCAATAACAAAGAGTGCTAAAAAATGTAAAAGGTATTCTTTCAAAATTAGTGCTCAGTTTCATGCGTACAGAGACGGGCTACACGTTTGATGTCATTTAACACCATTAACCCACGAAAGTACTTGTATGGGTCTATAAATAACAAATAACAGTCATTGTTGGCTGCAGGGTATTCATTGCAGGGGCGGATCCAGGAATTTTCAAAAGGGTAGCACATGATCGGTGATTCCATATGTTCGGGGTGTGTGTGGGGGTAGGGTGGGATGGGGTGTTGGGTGTTGCACCTGCACATGTACCGTCTTGACATTGAATAGAATATTCCCGATTTTCAGTTATTTCACAATACTTCGTTCTCATTTGTAGACAGACTGTAATTTAGGTTCCCCTGGTCTGATACCAGCACGAGCACCAGAGGTTCTCCTCTAACGTCGGGGTACACGGCTCTGGTATTATTACACCGCACGAAGTGGCGTTAATTCTCACTTACCAACTCACTCACTAAAGGTTAGTTTGTCCCCCTGCAGGCTTCAGGGGAGGCAGTGTTCGTGGATGATCTGCCGGCGATGAAGAACCAACTGTACGGAGCATTCGTCCTCACGTCCGTCGCCAATGGAAAGCTCGTAGATATCGACGCCTCAAAAGCTGTGGTAGGTTGACCGCCTCTGCAGTTAGGGGTACAGAACGTTTGACCGTCCCTGTGGTTAGGGGTACAGAACGTTTGACCGCCCCTGTGGTTAGGGGAACTGAACGTTTGACCGCCCCTGTGGTTAGGGGTACAGAACGTTTGACGGTCCCTGTGGTTAGGGTACAGAACGTTTGACCGTCCCTGCAGTTAGGGGTACAGAACGTTTGACCGTCCCTGTGGTTAGGAGTACAGAACATTTGACCGTCCCTGTGGTTAGGGGAACTGAACGTTTGACCGCCCCTGTGCTTAAGGGTACAGAACGTTTGACGGCCTCGGTGGTTAGGGTACAGAACGTTTGACCGTCCCTGTGGTTGGGGGTACAGAACGTTTGACCGCCCCCGTGGTTAGGGGTACAGAACGTTTGACAGTCCCTGTGCTTAGGGGTACAGAACGATTGACCGCCCCTGTGGTTAGGGGTACAGAACGTTTGACCGCCCCTGTGGTTAGGGGATACAGAACGTTTGACGGTCCCTGCAGTTAGGGGTACAGAACGTTTTTACCGTCCCTGCAGTTAGGGGTACAGAACGTTTGACCGCCCCTGTGGTTAGGGGTACAGAACGTTTGACCGCCTCTGTGTGTTAGGGGTACAGAACGATTGACCGCCTCTGTGTGTTAGGGGTACAGAACGATTGACCGCCTCTGTGGTTAGGGTACAGAACGTTTGGCCGTCCCTGTGGTTGGGGGTACAGAACGTTTGACCGCCCCTGTGGTTAGGGGAACTGAACGTTTGACCGCCTCTGCAGTTAGGGGTACAGAACGTTTGACCGTCCCTGTGGTTAGGAGTACAGAACATTTGACCGTCCCTGTGGTTAGGGGAACTGAACGTTTGACCGCCCCTGTGCTTAGGGGTACAGAACGTTTGACGGCCTCGGTGGTTAGGGTACAGAACGTTTGACCGTCCCTGTGCTTAGGGGTACAGAACGTTTGACCGCCCCCGTGGTTAGGGGTACAGAACGTTTGACCGCCCCTGTGGTTAGTGGATACAGAACGTTTGACGGTCCCTGCAGTTAGGGGTACAGAACGTTTTTACCGTCCCTGCAGTTAGGGGTACAGAACGTTTGACCGCCCCTGTGGTTAGGGGTACAGAACGTTTGACCGCCTCTGTGTGTTAGGGGTACAGAACGATTGACCGCCTCTGTGTGTTAGGGGTACAGAACGATTGACCGCCTCTGTGTGTTAGGGGTACAGAACGTTTGACCGCCTCTGTGTGTTAAAGCAAATAACCCAATAAATGCCCTCGAGACAGAATCACAATGACCGGGTAGTGCGGCGAATTGTGGGTACGGTTCGTGAAACCGGTATCACAGGTTGTCTCAATATCAATCTGTATAATTTTCCGACTGTGGGACAAGTACTATCGAAAGAGTGAGGTTGCAATGGCAACTGTGGGCGTCAGGCTTACAAATGGTGTCAAGACAGTCTTATTACAAACCAGATTGTTACCCGCAGAGTTCCAAGCGATAGCAACAAGGCGAGCTTTATTTCGAACCGGCCGTATGCAGCCAGCATGAAAGCAGGGCATCCCTAACAGATTACCAACCGGCAACACATTGAGAGTGTGCACCCGCAACGTCGCCCCGCTTGGGATAGCTTGTGAACAACTTTGGGCGACTGTACGGAGGTTGGTCAACTGTGAGCCAGCAAGATGTCGTGCATGTGTCTTCCAACACAGATCTACCCGCACAAAGTTCATGTTACAGACACTTACACCATCACTACGCTCCATCATCTATCTATCCATCTATACATATACATATATATAGTATGACCAGAAATTATTGAGACTTTTAGGAATATGTTTAATTGGATTTCTAGTATAAACAACCTTGATCAGCTATCAAGTGCTTGGTTTCATTCAGGAGAGACAACTCCGTTAATCCTTTTTCATTAGTTTGTGAAGAGTTATCCCCCTTTGTTTACTTGCTATCAGACGACATTTTCAGTGATCATCAGTATGGATGATTGGAGAAGAGGAAGTTGATTTTAGAGTATTATAACAAGGACATAGATCAGCTAAAGTGATTTCAAGTAGAACAGGCATCCCTTTGTCCACTGTTTATCGTGTTTTGAAGAATATTGCAAATGGATATGGCATTGAGCACTAGGGAGGCGCAGGTAGGCCCAGAAAATTGTTTCTAAAACCAACGAAGGAGTTAAGAAAACTTAAGGCTGGACATGATTGATAGAGGAACTGTGGCTGTCTGTAAGGAGACACTTAGAACTGAGCTGCATGCAATGGGTTGGCAGAAAAGTCGAGGAATTCCATCACCGATTATGAACCTGAACAAAAGGAGCGAAGGTTGAACTGGTGCTTACAGCATAGAAATTTTAACTGGGATGATGTGATTTCCTCAAATGAAAGTTCTGTGTGGCTGTTTCCTAATACACTGAAATTCTGGACCAAACAAACTGAAACGGTACACAGATCGAGGGACATTTACTTCCATCTGCTCACGTGTTCTATGGAATTCTTTGGATTTTCCAGCAGGACAACGGCCCAAAACATCGTTCAAAGCATTCACAGGCCTGGTTTCGGACCCAAAATATGACATTATTAGATTGGCCAAGCTATAGCCCTGACCTAAATCCAAAAGAAAATGTTTGGGGACTTATGAAGGATAAAGTGTCGATAAGAAAAATCTGACAAATATTGCTGAAATGAAAGAAGAGGTGGTCCGATATTGGGACAGCATGGACCATGACTTTCTAACTTGTTTGATCAGTAGTATGCCCCACCGCATTGAAGCCTGCATTGCTGCCTATGGTGACTTGACAAAATACTAACTGTTCACCTGTCTTTGAATCTGGAGTTATGTTCTGCTAATATTCACATTTAATACGAAAATAATGAGTGAAAAAAATAGAAAAATTACAATCTTTAAATTCTCAATAATTTCTGGTTGTACTGTATGTTGTACATCCGCTGTTTTATTGCTTCAGAACATACCTGGAGTGGTAAGATTTTTTACCGCAAAGGACATTCCCGGCGGGAACAATGCTCTGAAACAGGTGTCATTCCCTCAACAAAGGGAAGAGGTGAGTACCTTGTTCATATTTCTCCGGCTGCATGTATGAGAAATACAAACTCAGGTATTCCATACTGAGTAACGACAACTCACTAGTTTTGTTTCCAATTGATAATATGTGCAGTTTTACCAATAATCGTGATGACATTGCTATTTCTTGACAACAGAACGAAATACTACCACTTATGATCTATTGACAATGTCTTGACAGATGTCTAGTTTAGGGCTTCAACGAGCCCATTTCCTTGAACTCGAGTACTCGAGGAGTCAGACTCGACTCGGACCCCAGTACTCGAAATTCCTACCTTTTAAGCAACACCATAGTGTAAATGGCACCACATAACAAAATACGATGATTGTTCCATCAATATGGAAGTTGGTAACTTAGTAATATACATACATGTTGTTAAACCATTACAGGTTAAGGCATGAAATGTGTTCCGATCATGCAAGTTACCACTTACTTTATTCCGACTTGATATCGTCATGTGACTTACATGTTCTATTGTTATAATAATGTAAAATCAAAGAATTCAAAATAATAAAAATACACCCGTTTGATTATGCATACTTAAAATGGTATTGATTGATTTAGTTTCATGGGAATTTCATGTATTACTAATTTACTTACTAGCACGACAGGACCTTTAGGCGTGGCAAACAAATACATCACTTATGTCACGTTAATCAGTTGCCTGTGTGTTAAGTTGTTGGCAAACAAATACATCACTCATGTCACGTTAATCAGTTGCCTGTGTGTTAATTTTTGTTGATTTTGTAGGTTTTGTTGATTGTTACTATGCAGATCAAAATGCGCTCATACATTTGATTTTTTATCTTTCTCCATGTCTATCAATTGTCAAGATAGTTACCTAATCATTTCAAGAAGTGAAGTCTCAAACGATGTAAAATATCAGACGTTAACGGCCGCTCATGTTTAGCTCGAGTCCTAGTAAAGTTCAGCTGAACCCGACTGGTGCTCGCGTGCCCTTGGAAGCCCTAGTTTAATGCGTATTGATGCTGTTGTTGTTGGCAGGTTGTTGACATCTCAAGCAATTAACAAGTATCTCACACATGACATGACGGTTTTCCAACTGTCAGTACGTGTAATCAACTATTTCAAAATGACGTTTGCAGCTCAGTACAGGTGTTGGGTCGTCCGACAAAAAGGATATTTTCTTTAGATGCGTGTTTCGTAAACAGGCATTGGGTGACAATTCAAGTTAGCCTCTGCTTTTTACTTGAATACGATGATATACGATCAGGTTAACTTGAATAAAGAGTTATTACATGGCTACGTCGGCCATTGCATGCATGGGACCATGCATTGACCAAACCCCTACGTACAACAATTGCCCTTCATACGCATTTCTTCTATTTAGAAGAATTGAGTGAGTTGGGTTTATGCCGCTTTTAGCAATATTACAGCAATACCACGGCGGGGGACACCAGATATGGGCTTCACACATTGTACCCATGTGGGGAACCGAACCCGGGTCTTCGGCGTGAAGAGCAAACGCTTTAACCACTAGGCTACCCCAGCGCCCCCTTAGTAGACCAACACCAATACGGAGCATGTGATCCCACCACACTTTGTAAACTAGTTTCCTTGTTTACCTTTAGCTGTTCTGCAGCGGCGATGTGAAACATGCAGGGCAACAGATCGGATTTATTGTGGCAGGTAAGACATGTGAATACATGAAGGAAACAAAAATACAGCTTGTTAAACTCTATGCTTGAGACAAAGAATAAATAAACCATTTCGTTGAGCTACATGTTTGAGACATTGGAGCACAATATTGGTTTGTTGGAGTGTGCGTTATTGTCAGTATGAACGGACAGTGGTGTTTGTGAGAGCAGGAATTCACCGTAACATCGTCAAAGTCCCTGACCACTCTGTCCAACTGTTAGCCTGTCTCCGGGTTCATATCCAGGGTTACGTTCCATATCCGTGTACGAAACCTCTGGTCGTCCCGTAACACTACATATCTGGTCAGATTACTGCGACATTATTGAAACTGACTGATTCGCTGACTCTCTGACTCCATCCCTCCACCCACTCACTCACTCACTCATGTATTGCAGAATCTCAGAGTCTGGCTGAGGAGGCATCCAGGCAAGTTTCCGTCACATACACTGATACTAAGACGCCAATACTCTCTGTACAGGACGCCATCCTCAACAACAGCTACCACGCCAATCCGCTGAAGGAAACTAGGATTGGGGCGCCTGAAGGTTCGGAAACCAGTTCTACATGGTTCCAAATACACACAACTAATATAGTGCAGAGGTAGAAATGTGGCAATGTTATATAGACACCATTGTAGACGTAATGTAGACACCATTGTTGGTACCATTGTTGACGTATTGTAGACACCATTGTTGGTACCATTGTAGACGTATTGTAGACACCATTGTTGGTACCATTGTTGACGTATTGTAGACACCATTGTTGGTACCATTGTAGACGTAATGTAGACACCACCATTGTAGACGTATTGTAGACACCAGACACCATTGTAGACGTAATGTAGACACCATTGTTTGGCACCATTGTTGACACCATTGTTGACGTATTGTAGACACCATTGTTGGTACCATTGTTGACGTATTGTAGACACCATTGTTGTTGACGTTGGTACCATTGTTGGTACCCATTGTAGACGTAATTGTAGACACCATTGTTGGTTGACGTATTGTAGACACCACACCATTGTTGGTACCATTGTTGTACCATTGTTGACGTATTGTAGACACCACACCATTGTTGACGGACATTGTAGACACCATTTAGACGTAATGTAGACACCATTGTTGGCACCATTGTTGACGTATTGTAGACACCATTGTTGGTACCATTGTAGACGTAATGTAGACACCATTGTTGGCACCATTGTAGACGTAGACATTGTTGGTACCATTGTAGACGTAATGTAGACACCATTGTTGGCACCATTGTAGACGTATTGTAGACACCATTGTTGGTACCCATTGTAGACGTATTGTAGACACCATTGTTGGTACCATTGTTGACGTATTGTAGACACCATTGTTGGTACCACCATTGTTGGTACCAGACGTATTGTAGACACCATTGTTGGCACCATTGTAGACGTATTGTAGACACCATTGTTGTAGACGCGCACCATTGTTGGACCATTGTTGACGTAATGTAGACACCATTGTTGGTACCATTGTTGACGTATTGTAGACACCATTGTTGGTACCATTGTAGACGTATTGTAGACACCATTGTTGGTACCATTGTTGACGTATTGTAGACACCATTGTTGGTACCATTGTTGACGTATTGTAGACACCATTGTTGGTACCATTGTAGACGTAATGTAGACCACATTGTTGGCACCATTGTTGGCACCATTGTAGACGTATTGTAGACATCATTGTTGGCACCATTGTTGACGTAATGTAGACACCATTGTTGGTACCATTGTAGACGTATTGTAGACACCATTGTTGGTACCCTTGTTGACGTATTGTACACACCATTGTTGGTACCATTGTTGACGTATTGTAGACACCATTGTTGGCACCATTGTAGACGTAATGTAGACACCATTGTTGGCACCATTGTTGACGTATTGTAGACACCATTGTTGGCACCATTGTTGACGTATTGTAGACACCATTGTTGGCACCATTGTTGACGTATTGTAGACACCATTGTTGGCACCATCGTTGACGTATTGTAGACACCCTTGTTGGCACCATTATATACGTAATGTGAGCTAACGTGTCTGTGAGGGCTATGGAAAAAGAATTTGGTTGCCATCTATCGACTATGAGCCGACTGGCCAGAAACCATCTGCAAACTGAAGACGTTAAGGACGGTCAGCGTTCAGGTCGAAAGCGAGTTAAAATTCCTTGAGAGAATCACAAGACAAATCACGTCATCCGTCCATGTCAAGCGGAGGGTTAAAACAGAAAGGCATCCACATCGTCGTTTGTCAAACAGAAAGGTCCGAAATCACCTGAAACTGACGGGTATAGAGCCACACGATCTATCAGACGTCCTATGTATTCCCAAAGTACAAACCAGCACGGTCGAGACTAGCTTGGTATCAGGCTCGACGTCACTGGATTTTGAGGTCTTGGGGAGGACGAAAGTCGATGTCTTTCATTATAGACTGATGACCGTGAACCTGTTTGGCGCCGCATAAACACTGCATGCTCACAACCGTTACGGAATACCAAGGAGCAAGTACTATTGGCGGGGATTCATTGATGGTGTGGAGAAACACAGTGGCCTTGTAACTATCTGAAGGGACAATGGTACATCACTGTCAGTATAAACAGGGTTGTTGTGCCACATCTCGATGACCATCCTCTAAACACAAGACAAGTCTTCATGGACGGCAATGCTCGGTCTATGTTTAACCTACATAGCGATAACGGGTTCCTGTGTCCCGATCTATATGATCAATACCCAAACGTATATAACTTTTGTAAAATTTTGACACCTAAATGCACAAAACATACCTGAAATGCCGTTAATATTTTACAAATCCTGTTAAGAAATAGTTCCTAAGACGCAGGTATTTTGTATAACATATCAGTTTTGTGTTTTGCTCTTGTACCACCGTTGGTGTATTTTGGGTGCATAAAGATTGATGTATTGATACTGATTCCTTTTAACGTCATAAACTAATGTTATCAGCAATACAAACTGAGTCATTATTTTGCCACTCTTGCTTCTCTGAATAACCTAGGTTTTTCGTTCTTTTTGCTTTCAAATTTGCCATTATTTCTTGAGGGTCATTGTTTGATCAGCATTCTAGAAGTTGGTGAGTCAAAAATGAAATATAAATCTTTATGGAAAACAGCTTCTTGTTTATTGCATTGAGCGACGTTTCAATGTAGATTCTTACACAGTTATCAAGCTGAAGGCAACTACAACCAAATGAGAAGTATCTATCCATAGTATGTTTTCACAAACAGCAGATTAACATTAACAATAGCACGTAATTGATTAACAACTGTTGCTTAATTGGGAAAGGCCAGTTGGGGCCTAAGAACAACAAATGGGACTGGTGATGAAGCCAACAAGCCTGGGTGATTAAGTAGTAACAACTAGCTGATAGGGACGTTTCTGACTTAAATGCTGCTTTCGATTAGTATATGTGGACTCATTCAGAAATTTTTATGAATGTATCCGGTCCCGTATCTCACAAGCAGATGTCCTAAATTTGTTATTGTCACTTTGGGGAAGTACGGGGATTCCAGTCGGCACCCCTGTATATAAATGATGTCATGGAATACGTGACATGGATTAACTGGAATGTTTGGAAATCTTCATTCTGTTATTCGGTGCTGACATTGTCCGTATAGATTTGAAGTTTGCTGGGTAACTTTGATAATATTTAACAATTCATACTGACATAATAGTAACATAATTAGATTCCAAAAGTTACGAAATTGATGAAACGTTTGGAATGTATTTTTAGAATTGAAGATCGTACCATAAGTATGTTTATGTGCAATTTACCTCGTCAGGGCCATGGTTTTAACCAAAATACTTTAAGCAGAGCATGAACGATAATTCAGATATTACAGTCAGCTTAGGGTAAATTATCATTTCTACCAGGTAATACGTTTCTAACAATTATGATGCAAACAATCTACTTGTCATTATGCTAAGTGTTCAAGTTCAGTACATCAATACACCAGCAAATGGTCATGTTGCTTGGTTTTATCATACAGAACGTACAGAAAGCTCCAGTAAGACATGGCTATTTTTCTTGGTTTTGGACTTTGGAGTTGTTTTGTGGTTTGTTGAATTCTCTGTACTTAAACTATGACGGTTATTCCTGTTACTACAGACGCCATGGCTGCCTCAATCTCAACGGTGGAGGGCCAGTGTACCATGGAGAACCTGTTTCATTTCTATCTCGAGAACAACGTAAGTATCACTGTGGAGAGACAGAGAGAGAGAGAGTGAGGTGAGGTGAAATTGGGTTTAACGTCGTACTTGAGAATATTTCGCTCATATGACGACGTGCATGCGTGTGTATGTGTATGTGAGGCTGCTTGTACTAGCCCAGACTGAAGCTGGTTTTATAGTGCTAGCCCACTGAGATACCATGCCGCAGTGAAGCATGAATACCCCACTCAGACACATTATACTGCTTCCGAGCCGACCAATCCTTGTTGTACCCATTAATGCCGAGCGCCAGGCAGGGACCAACAAGTACCATATTTTAACGTCTTTTGGTATCGAACCCGCGACCTTCCGCTCTCCGGGCGGACGCTCTAACCACTACACCACGGAGGCGGTCGAGAGAGACTGAGTGAGTGAGAGGGACTGAGAGTAACAATGCTATCTTTTCAGGCTGATTTGCATTTGCAGCAAAACCCATGTTTCAGGCTGCAGTGTGTGTTCCTTCAGAGGATGGTCTAGATGTATATACGCCCAACCAGGCACTCAGTGGCGTTCAACGGGCCATCGCTGCAGTCATTGGCCAACCCTGCAACTAGTAAGTCTGCATTGTCTCATGCGTGTGTCCGCAACACTTGTCAGCCTTGCTGAAATTATATCACTCTTTGACAAAACACTAGAGTGCTGCAGACATGTGGAGATTCGATCTAGATCCTGGTTAAATGACGGATTGTGTTTCTTTAAAGACAGTATGTGTTGAAGCATTGAGGAAAATAATTTTGAACGAAAATCCAAGAACAGCAAACAGACAAAACCTCTAATTCGACTTAGTTCAAACGTTCTAATTCCACATAGGCATGAAGTGAACGTCCGGAAACCTTTGCTATCTTATATGACGTGGCCGGACCCAGCTGGTGTGAACTGTAAGGGGGTTTGGGACACTCGCAAGATCTATGTGAAGAAATAATTCTTCCGACTGATAAGTTTGAAAAAAGAAACATGAGTTTAAACACCGGTGGTTTGTCACGTGTCCTGCTTGTACTTCACACAGGTAGTCACATGACACTTCTGGTCAGCAAATGATTCTCGTACACTGTCCCGGTCTTGTGGCAGTCTCTACCCCTTGACCTGAACGTCTCTGAAACTCTGGATACCTTTAAGACCAGATTCAGGACTCAGTGCTATGATTCATCGGTCTCACTGTTTCACAATACAAATGTATATATATATATATATATGTGTGTTTTAAATGTAGCCCCGTGGATTTTATGGATTTGAGCTCAACAGAAATGTGGACTTTTATCATAATTATTTTAGATCGATGATCTGATTTTGTTCAAAATTCCCTTCTGATTTAGCCACTTTAACTGGAACCAAATCAAACCTGTTTCTTGTTGACATCTGTTCATACAATTAGAGTGACAAATCTATCCACAAGACTGCATGACAAAACGGAGGACTTTAACTTCCCAGTAGGAAACTTCTTTCTTCTGTTTGTAGAGCAACATCATGATGAGCCACAACATCGACTTCACACAGGCACACGTTCAAATGTTTGCACATGTGTGGGATAAACATTCCCATTTTTTGTCATTTCCATTTTATGATTATTATTTATGATTATGCCACTGTTTATTCAATGCAAGCTTAACCAGGACCTGTTTCAGCGTCAATGTAACGGTCCCACGTATTGGAGGATCATTTGGGGGTAAAAACATCGGCACAGCCCCCCCATGCATTGCGCCAGCGTTGGCAGCCTACAAGCTGAATAGGTAGGGCTCATATACCCTGAACGCCGAATAAATAGGACTTTTCTTCAAGACGTTTAAGTAGGGTTTCGGCTGAGCAAGACTTTCCTTAAAGCTGAATAGAAATGTTATCCGTATAGAATAGGGATGTTCCTAATTCACAACTGTACAAGTAGGACATTCATTCAACCTGAATAAGTAGGATTCTCATTCAAGCCCAGTATGTGGGTTTTGCACAGAAGCCGAAAAAGTAGAATTTCAATTGTAGCAAGGACGTTCATTCACGGATGAAACAGTACTGTCTTACAAGTAACATGGCTTTGCATGCTTGTGATGGATGACTCCGTTAGGGCAGGGTAACTCCACCCTTTCGCGATACATGTATTCAGTATGGAATCGGAACTCGACGGTTGGTAATGAAAGAAAGAGTTACTACGTATACAAGGTGGTGCGGTTGGGTAGCCTCGTAGTTAAGTGTTAGCACGTCACGCCGAGAACCCGGGTTCGATTCCACGTGGGTACCATGTGTAAAACCCATTTCTGGTGTGCTCCACCGTGATATTGCTGGAATATTGCTAACAGCGGCGTTAAACTAAACTTACTCACTAACTCTTTCGAGGTCATCGAGCTGTTTTGTCGTCTGTTAAAGCAGTCTATCTCTTCTGGAATCATTGTGTGCACGTCATCACAGAATCTAATGCCACTCGTATGCCGATATATGGTGTCCATACTTGTGATATTTTAGAATACTAACGTAAGAAATTGACGTTCAAGAAACTTGCTGACAATGAAGATGCTTAACACATGCGACCTGTGAGTCTCAGGAAGGGTCCTCTGTAATACCATCTCTATGGGAACTAATGTAACAATCACGATGTTCTCTGCTCGAAGGTAACAGTTTAGAAGGGTGTGAATTGCCTCTATGTATGTACACGTACATGGGTCATACGTTGCCCGGCAGGTTACACAGGTTGGGTTGGTGAAAGTATATCTCTGCCACAGTCAAATAATTACTCCGTAAATCGGAAAATATATATTTTTCACAGGTTAGTAATACGAAATAGTGGTAGCAGCGCACCAGTTGTTTTCAGAAGAGATACTATTGTACTGCACCTTAAAATGAAACCGAGCTTCAAATGTAAAGCGACGGGTTTTCTTAAAACAGCCACTCGTTGGTTCCAAGTCGGGTTCTTCCTTTTCAATAACATTTCAACTCAGCCGAACTATTTACAGGGTACCACAACACAGGCACAACATCGGTGTTGGCGATAATAGAACTGTGTTCAGTCTATTCAATGAAACTCAGTCATGATGTTCGAAGTAATATTTTCTTCAGAGAGCTGAAAACTAATATGTGTACGTAAGACTATCATTAAGGATTGTCGAACAAGTGGATTTGCCATTGTTGGATAGTTAGAACTACCATTGTTGGATAGAAAGAACTGCCATTGTTTAATAGAAATAACTGCTGTTGTTTGCTAGAAGGACTGTCATTGTAGAACATGAATCGACTATTATTGCTGGCCAACGTGATTGTCGAAACAGTCATTGTTGGATAAACACATCTGCAGTGATAATGTCTTTCGAAGACAGTAACTAAATGTTGGTAAGTGAGATATCCGAGTCTCCGGCGTGACGAGGTGAACGTTGTATCCACGAGGCCATGTTGAGAACTGTGATGCTGATTGTAGAATGTTTCCCCCAGGCCCGTGAGAACCACCGTGGGTCTGGCAACTGCTATGGAGATGCTCGGAAACAGAGGATCTATTCTGGCCAAGTATCAGGTACAATGACAAGTATGAGCAATTGGGCAGTTAGTATCTGGAACATAATAGATCGGGTGCAAGATTCAGTATCGGGTGGACAGAGTCTGTGACGCAGCTGTTTGCTTGTAACTTCACCCCTGCGGTGTGAATCGGGTGGTAAGACTGGTTGACTGGTTGCTTGTCACTGAATCCCGTCGGTTACATGGAAGCTGGTTTGTCAAAGTAACTCGACGGCGAGCCTTGTTGCGCATCATGTCACCCACTGCTTAGGTTGAGTCGATTAATGACATTCCACCGTGACAGGAATACTTCTGACAGCTGAAATAAAGCAACACTCGATTTGGTGAACGGATGTTACCTTGTTGAAGACGTCGATCTGTAATGTCCTACCCCTCATACATTACAATTTGTCAAGTTAGAAACTTCGGAAAAAGGAGTGTCAGTGAAGCCAAGTGTCAACATCTATGGAATGTTAGGCATCACATAATCATGAATCTCTCTATAGCCTACTAGTGTCCATATAGATACTTGTGCATACAAATAATTCTTAATATTAGCTTCGGCGGTTTTTGAATCAAGTTATGGAACAGCGATCCCTTATATTTCTACGGCATAAGAATGCAGGTGCTGAGTTTACCAACTTTCAGATGTTCCTACTGAATCATATTTGTATAGTTTCATCATTGTATTTTGAAAATGTGTTGAACACAGATGTGTCTGTGTTGTAGGCGGGCGTCGATGGTGACGGACGTCTCCAAGCTGTAACCGTCGACGTGTACTGTGACTGCGGCTACACGTCCAACTGGGTGTACAACTATCTGGGGATACTTGCCGACATTGATGGAGGTAAGGGATGGGGATAGAGAGAGGTTGGTTATATACATTGCCCCGACAACTTATTTAATTCAATAGTTCGGCAGTTCGCCGAGTTGGCTAACTTGCCACGCCAAGTTTCCGGGCACCCGTCGATTACGTTCCTCGGATTGCCAGCACTATACATGTGCTCGTGATGTTCACGTCGGGAGACGTCTAAAACCTGCATCGGCCTTCCTCCCCCGTGAAGCTAACGTGCCGTGATATAACTGGAATATTGCACATAGTAGCAGGAAACCCAGCTCATTGACTCTCGCTGTTTAATGCCAAGCAGTAAATACATAGTTGGTTCGCCTTACTATTATCGGTATGTATATTGTGTTGTCCAGGTTACTTCTGTCCAAACAGACGAGTGAGGATTATACTGTGTCACACCAACAAACCAACCAGCCAGTCTATGAGGGCACCAGGTACTCACTATATCATCAATGTGTCCAGGTCTCGATGACGTGAGATATGTAAAACTGAAACATGGTCTCTATGTTCGTTTGGTGATGACAACCAGCTCTGTACATACACGTTACGGAGGCCTAAAGTGGATTTCAAACATTTGTCGGGACTGCCACTGCCCCAGTCAAACACCGTCCATTAACGCGTTGAAGTTAGGTCAACAAAACATCTGCTCGGGTTACAGTCGGGCACCGGCTTGTATCAACGTTTAACATCTGTTTTAATCGTGTAGGATGACGTGGAAACGATATGTGCACAAGACCCCACATATAGGACAAGCCAGTCCAGAGTTGCTGTTGACTAAATATAGTGCATCACCCTAAACCTTTCATGATATTTCAGTAGTGACTTTCAATTACCCTAGAATAGAAGCAAGGGTCACCATCTGAGTTTGACATACGTTTTATACGTTTCAACCAAATCACTCAATAACGTATTTTCCCAAGTTTGTATAATTATAATTTCGACGCTGCAATTTAGATAGAAGAGATCTGTAAAACAAATCCTGAAGGTAGTGGCCTCAAATTTTCAGGCAACTACCCAGCAGGCTTCATCGTCGAGTCAGTGATGGAACACGTGGCCAGATTCCTGCAAATGGACCCGGATGTTGTTAAAGAGAGGAACTTGTACCACCACGGCCAGGTGTGACCTGCTGTTTGTGTGTATCGGAACTGTGGATGATATGTTTACACATTGTTTGTTGTTTGTTTGCACAGTGAAATACCCATACGCTGTTTAAATAATGCAATAAAATGGAGAATAATAAGCTGGTGCACGCAGTATGGTCCACACAGCCACCTACATGTCACCACACTGATGTCTCCCCCACTCAAACCAGACCAAACCCGTGAACATCCGGGTTACAATTGGTCTTCAGTAACCCATGTTTGTCGTAAGAGGCGACTAACTGGATCGGGTGGTCAGACTCGCTGACACATGTCATTGTATCCCAATTGCACAAATCGATGCTCATAATGTTGACCACTGGATTGTCTGGTCCAGACTTGATTATTTGCAGACCGCAGTCATATAGCTGGAATATTGCTGAATGATTGTGTTTAGAGGTGACCGCATGGACTAACGAAACCCAATAATATCCCATTGTTTCTCCTAAAAGTGACCCTTCTTTCTGTTTGTTATAGTTTTCTGGTCATGTTTCGGTAACTGCCATATGGCTTTATAATTTTTTGGTTGGAAAGTACACGAAGTTTCAATTTGTTGAAAGGTAAAGTCTGGTAGTTCTTACCATTCCCAGTATTCTGTTAGTTATAATATTTCATCTTTAGTTATTGAGGTTAGTTATTTGGCACCAACTTATTACGTTTTTGTGTATCATCCGAATATTCAAGTCAAAATCGAGGCATTCCTAAAAGAATCTGTCATACTGATGCACTCAGTATAATATGAACACTGCATTTCGGAGGTAAGAAAAAACGTTTACGCTTGCGTTTACAAGATGTGCTTTTAATTGATAACGTACAGCTCTCGTTTAGAAGCGCAAACCTTCCTTGCCTCTGTTTCACAGATTTCCTCTTTGGGGTATGAGATGAAGCACTGCTCTCTAAGCAGATTGTGGACGAAACTACAGGAGACTGCTGAAATCGAGAGACGCAAGGCAGAGCTCGACGTCTTCAACAAGGTAATAATGATCAATGATACAGATCAAATTTCCTGGAATTTACAGGTGATCCGACAAATAATATTTACAGGTGATCCGATAAATAATGGTTAAGGTGATCCGAACAAATACTGTTTACAGGCGATCCGACAAATGATATTTAAAGGTTATCCGACAAATGGGACAAAAGGCATTGGCTGTACGTCCATTGTAGTGAGTGCTGACATGAAGGCATTGGTTGTACATCCGTTGTAGTGAGTGCTGATATGAAGGCATGTACAACCATGTCGGAACAGAACATGAAGTAGACGGGACAAGTGTCGTTCAAGGCGGCGTGGAGATGGGACAAGGGCTTTATACAAAGGTCAGTAACCAGGTCCTCCGGAGGCAGCCACAAATACATGTCTTTCTCTACATAAATTTTGATGATTTTAAGTAGGAGCACATAGAGCACATATATTTCATTTAGATTTGTGGTTCTTGTCAACAAAGTATAAAAATAGACATACATCCTTGATAATATTAACATTTTTACTCTGTAATATTGATATAAAATTAATAATTGATGGACATTTACTAAAATATTTTGATATGTACTTATTTCTGATATGAGAATATGCATCACAGATATAAAACACATGCCATTCATCTTCAACAACGAAGATACCATTTAATTTACAAAACAGGCAATGCCTTTCATTATATGCAACATCAGTGTATCTGCCCATATCAACTGCTAGTTTAAAATTACAGCACCGAAATCGGGCATATATAGTTTTTAAATATTGAGGGATATCATTATTTATCAAGTAGCTCTCAACATTTAACAAAGATTTGAATTGCTTATAGTAAAGACATTTACGGTTACTGTCCAAAGATGAATGCCAAGATTGAAATAAATTATCACGTAGTCTCTGTTTAAATGATTCCATAAATATTTTGTGATCACCAATTTCCTGACTTATCCAAAGCCAAATTGAAAAAGAATACTTTTAATTCTAGTTGCCCATGAGTTTCGTCCTACCCTGTCTAAAGATAATAGCATAAAATAACATTGTTTTGGTAATCTATAGTCAGGCATGTTTAGAAGTCTGCACCAGTATTTCACTGCATTGGTTGTATAAGTAAACTGTAAAGGCACTCTTCCACATTCACCCAAGACCATATTGTTACAGGTGGATTTCCCAAGTTTCAAGACATATTTACAGAATTTAATATGGACAGATTCAGTGGTATTAGAGTAGGATGTGCCCCAGATTTCAGACCCATAACAGAGACTGGGTGATATCATACAATCAAAGATTTTAAATAAATCTGTACAATTAATGCTGCCAAGTTTCCTTTGGAAATTTTTAACAGAGAATATTGCCTTACTAGCTTGTGATGCAAGGCAAGATGTAGCTTTACTCCAGGATAATTTAGGAGTGAACATAATTCCAAGGTACTTGTAAAAAGATACAGTGTCAATAACATTGCCATTATAAAACCAATTTTCATATGAGCGCAAGGGACCACCATTTCTAAAAACAATAATCTTAGTGTTCTTTAGATTCACGCTCATACCAGTTTGCTCACAACATTTACCAAGTACATTGATCTTTTTTTGCAACTGTGCACAGGTGTCAGCTATTGCTGACACATCATCAGCAAACATAAGAGAGCAGAGATTGCTAATAGAAGAAGAAACTGTAATACCTTGACCTCCTTCCAACTCCATAAGACTGCATAGCTTATTTATGAAGATAATAAAAATCTGAGGGCTCAAAACACAGCCTTGGCGAGTACCGATGTTACAATAAAACTATTTGATATACCCTTAGATGTCCTGACTGAAGCTGATAAAGAACTATACATAGAAGTTAACAGCATAAGAAATTTACCTCGTATACCAGCTTCATAAAGTGACTTTAGAAGAACATCATGCCTTAGAGTATCAAAAGCCTTGGCAAAATCTACAAAGAGACAATAAAATCTACCCCTTTTTTTGCTAATATATTTTTGAATTAACGACTGCAATGAAAATATTTGGTCAATTGTTGAATAATCAGCCCTGAAACCGGCCTGTGATTCACTGATAATATCATGAACTTCACACCATCGCTGGAGGCAGCGATTAAGAATTGACATAAACACTTAAAAGTGGAATCTATGAGAGAAATTCCTCTGTAATTATTAGTATCATCTCTACAACCAGACTTATGAACAGGACAAATAATGCTTTTACCCCAACAAGATGGAAATTTACCACTATCAAAAATATGATTAAAAAGCTGAGTAAGATATGGTACAATGAGATGACTAGAAGCCTTTAAGAATTCAGCAGCAACACCATCTGGCCCTGGAGATTTATTATTAGCAGAATTAACTATCTGACGTGAAACTTCCTGTTGAGTAAAAGGATCATCAAGCCCTTCTGATCACTGAGTTGACAAATAAACATCACTATCCTCATCTAAAAGATAAGACCCATCTTGATCTGCACCAAGTAAAGACATAAAGTGACTGACCCACTGCAGATTAGTTATAGACAGAGAAATACCACTGGAAGAATTACACTTTTTCAAAATCCTCCAAAATGACTTAGAATCCTTGCTAGCAGCTACCAATTTGTCCTTTTGTTTACAGAAATAGGCTTCCTTCTTCACTCTGAAAACATGTTTAAAACAATTTCTAAAACACCTGAAAATATCCGGACTTTGATTAAAATCTCTATGAGCTCTAAGAGCCTTGTACTTATCATGTTTTAACTCCTCTAATTCTTGATCCCACCATGGAGGCTGCTCCCTGTCCCTATCAGCTTTACTACACACAGGAGGGTACACACTTTTAGGAGGCAGCATGTTTTCACAGTAGACGCTTCAAAGCATGTCTTTCTCTGAAGCACACGAACAATTTCATTTTACACACAACTTTCTCTTCAGCCGATCAAATCAGTCATGGTAACGTTTTATAGTAAGTTGGTGTCAGTAATTCTACTTTGATTCCTTATTAATATCGTAAAGATAATAATTATCATTGATATTAAATGTAATACAGATATCTTGAAGACACGATTGGTACATGACGTAACATAGTAACCATTACATGACTAGCTTAGGTTCCATAATTTGATGTGGCCTTCCAGTATATTCTGCTATCGTGCAGGTAGCTCAGGCAGTGGCCAGTAGTCTGGGTATACCGATTGCCACAATCAAGGTCCGTCCCAACACCTCCCACGTTGGCGTCAACAACTTCCCGACTGCGGGCAGCTCAACCAGCGAACTGGCTGTCGGCGTGAGTTTTGTGTTGGACATTGTCTAATTTCATCTAAAGGAGTTTATTTTTAATGTGAAATTAACGCGATATACGGCTTTTCCATTCAACGAGTTGGCCGTTACATTTTAATGTCAATGATTGAACTTCGTAATCGCCACAGGTTCATGACCAGCTTCGTAAATCTCGACCGTCACGGTTTTCGTCTCGTCCACTTCCTGCAGTATTTGATATACATGTGATACGATTCATTGGTACTGACTACCTGAGGGTATGTTTTAGACAACACTAACAATGGCGTTATTTGTTGAGGCAGCAAGTAAAGATGTTCCTTGATAGTAAGATGAGCATACATTCCCGCATGTCACCTCTCTTTAATTATGGTATTCCACATTCTAGGATTGTGTAAAACATCTCTCAAAGTATAACATAGTCTTACAAATGCAATTCATATCAGCACGAACCTTTGAAGAGTGCAGGTCAAACAAAAATTGAAGTCTGCATTAGTATAACCTTCACAATATAAATACTCTCAACGCAGTCATGCAGTGTGAGCGTATCTAAAGAAGGACATGTCATTACTCATGACGCAGGTGGTTTCATGATCTCATCATGACACAGAAACGTTCAATACAAGTCGACCCAGTTGTCAGACCCAAATTGTATTGCCACACGAACATTTAATGCCTATCAACAATAAACATAAAATCAGAGTCCACTTTACGATGACGTTTCATGGACATCTGCCTAATTCTCACTTACTTCTTGACGATCTTAAAATCCATTGTGCCATGTTTAATTTGCCATGTGAAACACGACAGTGTGATACAGTCACACAGTATTGACACATAAGGTCCACAGCTTGTGACAAACAGGCAACTGTATTAGATCATACAAGGAATAACTTGCACCATCGCCTCAGATGGTGTTCATGGAAGACGTTGCACCATGGATGCTATATTTATTTCATTTCTGTGTTTGAGTCTGCTCTGCGCTGCTGTGAGATTCTGAAGGAGAGGATGAAGCCAGCCAGGAAGAATTTTGCTGAAGGTGCTGGTTGGCTTACAGTAGTGAGGGAGTGCTCCAAACTAGGCATCGAACTGGCAGCGAAACACAAGTAGGCAATACTCATGTATGTTAGGTAAAGGGCAAAGTGACCGAACCATTGAAAAAAAATGTTATTTGTTTGCTCTCATGTACTCCAGCTGTGTGACGCCAGTCTGTACATAATCGAGTCTGGACCAGAAAACCCAGTGATCAATATCATGAGCAACGTTGCTCGCCGTCTTGGTACAATTCTACGCTACAAGCCGAGTCCCTGAAACTGACCATCCGACCTGTGTATTTGTTTATTACGGTCAGCATCGATTGTTTGGGACCATTTCTAACCTATCAACATTAAAGAACGAAGTCATAGATTGACAATTATATTTTTCCTCATGAACCATATGCAATGGATTCAAATACGGCATGGGTGCCGTTCCACCTGATGATAAACATCGACATGGCGGAACTTGACAAGCAGCATTATGCACAATACATGTATTTCACATGAGGAGAAGAAGGTCGCCCTGTCATGGTAGCTCCAGCCTGAACACCAGAGTGTCCTAAGTCCACTTTTGAGTTAGTATGCTCGGTGTAGGTTTTAGAGCATAATCTATAACTCTGGCAACTGTTTACAGTACTATCTAGCTTTGAAAGTGTTTTTTCCAACACAAACTTTGTTTGATCTCCATGAAAAATCACATGTTGCTAGTTTTCGAGTGTTGTCAGCTGACCAATGAGCAAGCACAATTTGATCAGGTGACAATGAGATTAGCCGATTTTGAAGTGATTTTCATCCTGGAAATGGAGCATTTTAACTCTGTTCTTATTTCTTATATATTTTATAAAAACTTGTCCTTATGAAAGTAAAAATGATTTAAACGACAAAAATACAGCCTGGTTAAAAATAATTAACAATCAAATATCCATATAATAATGATAACGCTGAGGTTTAGCTGTGTTTCTGGCACTTAGAACACTTTGGTTTTGAGAAAACATCACGATTTTCTTTGGTCAAGTGTTTTTTCGTGAATTTCTTATTTACTCTAATAGATTGAGCATACAATGTGCTGTTTTCTGATACAGTTTTTCATGTCACATGTATGTGCAAAATTCTAAAGAATTCGATTGAATAGTTTAGAAGATATTGTTGTCCTAAACTTTAAGATGGATTTTTTCGAAAAAGGTTTTTGTGACTTAGTACACTCTGGTTTTCAGACGACGTCCTGTTATGTCAGCATCTCTGGAGGACATTACACACTGCTATTTGCGTCTAATCAGTACAGTGGTTGTAGAGTGTAATGTCGGGCAACATATTCAGGGTTTTAACTTTTCGTTCTTTCGTCACACCAACACGCTTCACAGGCGTTGCTTGAAACAAGTTTACCTAAAACTGCATATCTTACTGATTAGGTGTGGTCGACAAAACACAGCAAATGTTTTTTCAGATGGAAACCCGAATGTGAAGGTGGTGCCTACTCCCCTGCCTATTGTGCCTACGCCGTTGGGGCTAGTGAGGTGGAGCTAGATGTTCTGACGGGTGAAAACCACATCAGAAGAGTGGATATCATCTATGACTGTGGCGAAAGGTGAGTGAGTGAGTGAATGTGTGATTGTGGTATTATGCTGGTAAACCACGATTCACATTCAGGTTGTGCCGGTAACTCCAACAAACAGTTAGCCTCTCCTGACCAAACTAAGGGACATAACTATCATGGCATTGACGTACCGTCCACTTGAATGGTGTGATATAGCTGGTATATTATATCCGTTCGATGAATATTGTATATGTGACTGGGGCAGCGTGGTAGCCACGTGGTTAAAGTGTTCGCTCGTTAAGCCAACGTTCTCGACTACCTCATGGTTCTGCTTCTACTTGGCCAGGTTTCACAAGACAGCATGCGTCTGATGGGCAGAGATGGATGGTTAGATCCACTACGCGATATACACAAAGATTCTATACATTCATACATATTGTTCCACTGGCTGGCACTTGACAGTATTTGGCTAACACTGATTGTTCGGCTTAAAGGGTATATAACAGTGACACTGCGGCATGGTGTCGCATATATACTGAGGGAAACAAATAGGGGAGCACATGAAAGTACAAGTGTTCCATTACTCGTATCCAGGCTCCTTCACAATATTTACAAGCCCCTTTAACATGGACACGTTTACGTATGTGAGTAAACCTACTTATGTGAGTATATTTACTTAGGGTGGCATGTGAACGCATTTGCTTACTTGAGTAAATATACTCCTGGAGTAAACAGACCTAAGTAAAAGTATATTTACTAGACCTCTTGGGGTCTATATATTTATAAGTTTATAAAACTATCTCCGATTTTGTCTGTAGTAAGGTAGGTTCCCTCCAGAATCAGGTAGACCTCTGCTGTGACTTTGCACTGATCATTTCTAAACCTAGGTTTTGAAGTACACGTTTCGAAACCTCATATCAGGTTAACTTTCGACCAATTCATCATCTAGGTTATGATTGATTCAGCTTTGTCTTGCTATCGCTGATCGTAAAATATCACATTATTGAAAACTTCCAAAAAACATATAATGGCGATAATTGGTTTCGAATCCGCAACTCTTCGCTCTCTAGCTTGGCGGTTTTATCCAAAAGGCTACGAAGGTTCGCTGTGAAGGATGATATGTCGGTATGAATCATATGTGTTCCTCACAAGACGGGTAGCGCGTGCAGACCACGTGCAATGTGCGTGCGAGGCAAGGTGTTGGCTGCCAGTCGCAACCCTGTTGACACCGGCTGTTCGATCATTGTCAGGCTGTTCCATCAATGTTGTTCTGCTCAGTACAGGTACACAAAACATTTGCACAAATTGAGCATTATACATATTTGTGTTTTACATTCATGACAGTTCATAAGTGGGATAAAACACTCCTCCTCGGTTTTGGTAGCAGATGTAAACCCTCCGCTGGTTTACCTTTGCTACCAAAACGTCGGAGTCTTGTTTTATCTTCTGGAGTATTTGTGGTCATGTGAATAAAATCCATGTTTGCTTAGGTGAGTATTTCACGACATATTTAATACATCTTAAGAGATCACTGAGGGCAGTTACATCAGTACTAAACTTAGTAACACTCGTGCATCACTGTCTAGACAGCTGTGTGGAAAGTGCAAGGTTAGTTATAAGTAGTTGGTCATTCGGTCTGTCAGCAAAGATGCCTCCTAAGAAGAATCCTGTTGTTAAAAGGGCCACGCGTGGAATGATGAAGAGACTAATTATCTCTTGTCTATTTGGAATGAAACCAATGTTGAGGAGGCGTGAGTTGGGGTTTACGCCGCACTCGGCAATATTCCAGCTATATGGCGGCGGTCTGTAATAATCGAGTCTGGACCAGACAATCCAGTGATCAACAGCATGAGCATCGACCTGCGATATTGGGAACCGATGACATGTGTCAACCACCCGATCCCGTTAATCGCCTCTTACGACAAGCATGGGTTACTGAAGGTTCATTCTAACTCGGACCTTCACGGGTCCAAATATTGAGGAACAACTTGAAGATCAAAAAAAAAAGAATAAAGGAGCAATCCATACAATGATGTCAGATGAGATGAAGATACAAGGATAGTAGCGCCCAGTACAAAATACGTATGAACACACTCAAACGACATTTCTAGGATTGTAAAAAGAACATGAAAACACGTGGCAAGAGTCGAAAACTGTGCAAGTTTTATGATATGCTGAAGGAGATTTTGGGCCAAAGACCAACATCGCCTGTGCTGATAGAAAGATGGGTCAGAGACAGCGTCTTGCCACGCAGGTGATGCCAGATGACAGTTATAACACAGATGATAGGTTGATGGAAATAATGATGTTTTAGAAGAAAGGGATAGTAGCGAACATCTCGATGCGATTGATGACAAGGACAATCAAGATCAAGAAGATGACGATAAGGATGAAACAAAGGAAGATGAGAATGCAAACAAAAATGAACAGAGAGGAAAGAAGAGGAGTCAGATGACCAAGTCAAAAAGAAGCCCACGAAAAAATAAAAGAGAATAATGAAAACAAGACTGGAGACTGATTTCGGAAATATAATGAAGTAGCACTCGGAAAGTAACACAAAATTTGAAAATGCTATGATGTCATTAGAAGATAAGAAAATGTATTAAGAAATAAAGAAGATAGAAGTGGAGAAGATAATACTAGAAGTGGAAGAAAGACAAAAACGCGAGGGACGAGACCACCAGTTCCGTATGATGCAAATGATCCTTGGTCGAATGAACACTAGTCAACCAATGAGACTGTCATCAAACGCCTACCATGCCTGGAACTTCCTGGAATCAACCAAGTCAGCCATACCAATCGTATCGTATACCAGATCGCCGATCATCTACTGAACAATCAGATGTCTCTTTTCATGATTCAGGAAATTCATTCTGTCAACTTTAAATCCCTTCAACCTGTTTTGTACACATGTTTACTTTTATTTAACTCAGTGTACAAAGAGACACTCAGTAGAGACATTTATCATCAATGTTCATGTTTAGTCGGTTCTCAGATGTTACCAGATATTGTTGATTGTGATTTATGTTACCATCTTAAATGTTTTATTCAGACTAATTGTCATAATATTTAATTACATTTGAGTCTGATTTTCATCAGCAAACAGATTGTGTGTCCATTTACATGTGCTATGTTGTAGCAATGATTTGAAAATAGAAATAAAGAATGATTAAAAACTGTTTTATTGTGTTTTTACTTGAGTTGTCAGATTTCAACAAGTACCTTTCAACAGCAAACCTTAAGCTACATAATTAAATAATACTCCATTTATATGGTATGGTCTGTACCTTCAGAATTGGGTTTAGACTACAAAATCAGTCACAATGTTAATTAGAATAAAGATGCCAAGGATGGTGCGATGATAGGGATATGTGTTCCATCAATGGCACCCACACAGTTAGGGGAATTCCACGTCTCTTCAAAGCCCTGAATCACATGTCTCAGTTCATCTCCTTCTGGGAACTTCACATATATTGTTAACAATCTTTCGGATATCGCATTGCAGACGCCATGTACACATTTGTGAACTGAGGAAACTCCTGTCCCGAAGAGATTAGCAATAGTTCTATACTCTGCAGAGGGAGCAAGCCAGTAGACTGCAATGCCCACCTTATGGTCCAGTTCCAGAGGTTCCCTTACATAAACATCCATTGGGAAAACATGGCTGTAGTTCATTGCAAAGAACATAAAATGTGTCTCTAGTCATGCTAAAGTTCTCTATCCAAAGTATGTCACCAAAGAATATTTTCATGGTTTGAGACCACCGATGGCGAGATCGTTCTCTACTCCATACTTCTCTCTCACGACACAACCCCAGGGCCAAACCCATACTGGGAAAATATGGGAAATCTCTCCCCCGTTTTTGCATGGGCAGCTTACTCAACGACATTGTCTCAAAGAATGAAAATTCAGTTATTCTAATCACGAGATTATGTTTACTTATACCTGGCGAAAACAACACGTGAACGTGATGTAAATTTACTTTTACACATGTGAGTATATTTACTCATGTAAGTACATTGTGTCCATGTGAAAGAAGCTTTTACATTGCACTGTGAGGTGAAAATCTGAGAATAAATAAAGGTAGAACTGCGATGAAGTAGTGTTCCTTTCTTTGTTTCCCTCAGTGTATGTCTGTGTGTATATATGGGTATCTTCCCATAAGACAGACCTCCCAAAAGACAGACCGCTTAAAACAACACATGTTATGGTTGGTTGCATAAGGTTTAAAACTGTACCCTTGATGATAATGGTATGTGCCCAGATTAAAAAGCCAACATTAGGTATTAACAAGGTAGGAAACTTGGATACAGTGAGAGTGGAGGCTTTGTGATTTTTGCGACAGAAACTTTATGATTTGTGACAGTCTTTGTGATTTGTCACATCGTCTTTGCCATGATATGTGTTATAATAAGATAAATGGTAATTATAGCTTTAGTTTGTGGTATTAAAGACTATAATTTTCCTAATCAACATATAATATCATATTGCAACTTTATAATGCAACTTGAATATATCTAGCAATAGCATAGATATATTTTTATCATAATTTGCAATGAAAGTCATTTTTATAATACAAGTGAGTAAAACATCAAGATGAACAACCCTCAAAGACCAAATTATGTCAAGTTCAAAAATATGTGAATTAAGTCTAGTTTTCCACATAACATTGTGTCATATATATATATATATATCAATATTTTAACATCAATTTCACTAAAATAATATTTTAGAAATATCTCAAAGTCTTTAACACTGGTAACAGAAAATTTGAGATTGAAAGATGATGGTAACGGAAATTCCTATCATTTTGTGTCCATTCAGGATAAGGCAGTAAGTTGTTCGGTTGTATATAAAAATTTACTTGGCCAATAAATGGTGTGCATCAGGTAATATTAAGTCGTCCACATGAACAAGTCACAAGATAAGATGATTTCTTCACTATCTCAAGGGAAATTTTTGTGCATCATGTACAGTTTCCACATTCTTAAAGCATGTCTATATAACATTTTAATGAGTACCTGCAAGCGATTGCAAGTTACAATATCATTACCTCTCGACATGGAACAAATAGATAGTACAAAGCTTAACTCGAAGAGTCTGTACAAAACAATTATTTTCAGAAGAAGACAATGGTGGGAGGTAAACCCAATCAGATCAATTCATTATAGAAAAAAGTATGAAAGTCTTAACAAGTTATGACTTTTCAAGATAATCAAGGGTTTTCAGAGTAATATAACTACATGATAAATAAAGTGCTTGAGAACATTCTTAACTTCTCTAACAACTCAGTTCTCTACTATTCAGTACTCACTAGTAAACTAGGCGAGATAAGAGTGTGTTGTTACTATACTCTGTAGTGACTCTGGGTCAGCTCATTAATTAAATAGGGGTGGACAGCAGGGCTCAGCAAATTTGTGTACTAATTGAGTCTGTCTTATGGGAGGTCTGTCTTTTGGGAGTGAACCGTATATATGTATATATTATATGCTGTTAACGCGACATTAAGGGCCATTCAACCTCACCGAACAAGAGTTGATGTTGCAGCCTAAACCCAGTGGTGGATGTAGGCCAGATCGAGGGCGCGTTCCTGATGGGCGTTGGGGGGCTGCTGATGGAGAGAGTTGTGTATGACGAGGTCACAGGCAGAGTCCTCAACAACAGTACATGGGTACGTCTTGTTTCGTTTGTTGTTCTGCTGATCGCTTTTCGTTAGTCAGATGTCTCAAATCAAGGACGGCCCATTCCTAACAGAAACCTACGAAATGAGACTATTTTTGTTTCTGGTTTTCGTGGGGCGGTGGGGTAGCCTAATGGTTAAAGCGTTCACTCGTCACGCCGAAGACCCGGGTACGATTCCCCACATGGATACAATGTGTGAAGCCCATTTCTGGTGTCTCCTGGCGTGATATGTCTGGAATATTGCTAAAAGCGGCGTAAAATTTAACTCACTCACTCACCCTGGTTTTCGTCCCTTTTTGCGTTTTGCCAATTGATCAAGATAGTAAGGTACATTGAGGTTTGGATAAGTTCAATTCCTATAGTTAATAGTAACATATTGATACTGTGAAAACTATTGGGTGTTGCGTGGTAGACGTTGTGAATCACACAAAATATCAAATATTGACCATTGCTACTTGCTGATTTCAAAGTTAAGTCTGTTACATTAACCTGATTAATTGTCTGTAAAAGATCTCGATGTGAAACCAACTAAAACAATGAAATGGAATGTAATTAATAATAATTATTGCATTCAAAAATGAAGTTAATTTACGAATTGATACAAATGACAAGGAAATAATGGAAAGGGGAGTAGCCGTACAGATGCCGTGACACTGTTATACAGACAGAGATGGTCACCTCACACAACAATGGTAGAGTTTCCAAAATAGGCTGAAAATCCAGGGTAAGTGTAAGTCCCTACAATTGCCGGTCATCGTATAACTTGAGATGTTTATGAGACTTGGTGGTGGATGGTGGTGGTGGTATAGTATAAAATCGACTTGGACCATAAGTAGGGTCTACTTGCGGCCAACTCATTAACTGAAGTTGCACTATGATGAATATAAGTAGGCATACTGCAAATGATTATAGTTGGTTAAAACGTTCGCTCGTCACGCCGAAGACACGGGTTCGATACCCCACATGGGTACAATGTGTGAAGCCCATTTCTGGTGTCCCCCTCCGTGATATTGCTGGAATATTGCTAAAAGCGGCGTAAAACCATACTCACTCCAACTCCTGACGTCAGAATATCGTGACAAGGCCCATATGTTTGTAGTACCCTGTACTAATTTCCAGCCAAAGTATAACAGAACTCTTAATTTCTAAACTTCATGTAAACAACTTTAATGACTCTTAGACGAGTTTCTGTGTCACTCTTCCCAGGAAGTAGACAATTAGATATATTACTCGTTGCCACGGTAACCGCCAAACTCTCCGCCGGGAATATGTATCGCTCACAATCGGATAACGTCATAATATGACGCATGCAGTGTCCGGAGTTAAAAAACCGTTCGATTAACTGTTTTTGAGTTCACTATGTAGACATTTATTTCACCGACTTTCATTGCTTGATTTATACTATTTTATACATTGAATCGTTTGCACTCTCAACTTAAACACACTTAATAATATTTATAACAGTTTTAAGCTTGTCAGAATATGTTTCACCGATTTGAAAAATCTAGTCGAGAGGCAGACGTCATTGTCATATACTCGGTAGCGAGCTTATCCATCTTCAAAATAAAATAAAATGATATTTTGTATATTTAACATGGCGGTAAGGTAAATAAGTTGTATGCTTCTCCCTCGGGTAATACGCTCTGATGTACGCCTCTTTGTAGCAGTGTTATCCCTCGCATACCGGCTCGGGTGGCACAGCTACAAAAAGGCGTACATCAGACCGTATTACCCTCGATCGAAGCATACAACTTATTATAGCACAGGACTGCCCCTACTGAATGTCAGCTGGTACAATGTATTACACACGTTGGTACACTGATTGTTCATTGATTCAGTATTTCAAAAGACTTTTACTTATTTTTAAACACATCAGCATCATCAGCATCATGGGATCAGCATCATTTTTCCTATTTGTCATCAGGACTACAAGCCGCCGACATGTAAGGATATCCCGATCGACTGGCGGATCTCGTTGCTGCCTCACGCACCATGTCAACAAGGAATAAGGGGATCTAAAGGTATTTGAAACATGACACCGCTAAATTAGACATAAAACCATGAGTACCCACAGGCGACCTGGAGACAACAGGACCTCAGTTTTTACTCTCAAACACAACCTTCACAAGGCGTCCTAGTATTTATACTCAAACACAACATTCACAAGGCGCCGTAGCTTTTATACTCAAACACAACCGTTACAAGGCGTCCTAGCTTTTTACTCGCAAACACAACCTTCAAAAAGCGACCTAGTTTTTACTCTCAAACACAAGTGTCACACACGGCGACCTAGGTTTTACTCTCAAACACAACCTTCACAAAGCGACCTAGTTTTTACTCTCAAACACAACCTTCACAAGGCGTCTCAAACAAAAGCGACCTAGTTTTTACTCTCAAACACAACCTTCACAAGGCGTCCTAGTTTTTACATTGAAACACGACCTTCATAGGGCGTCCTAGTTTATACAGTCAGACACATCTGCCAAGATCACTATTTTCAATCTAAATAAATACTCTTTTCAATCCCAGTAAGAAGTCTCGCCGTTAATTTCACTCCTCTTTATGGACGGTACGAGCGCACAAAGGACCCATGTAAACACTGCCTCTATATGCTGGCACATAGACGTTGTGTTTGACCTGCTATGGAATGTACTAGCCCACTAAGTGGCCTTCAACTGCTCTTCACTTACAACCATGTGATGTGTGTACGCGGTCCCCATGTCCTTAATCCATGTTTGTTATCTCCTCAGCGGTGGGGGAGCCTCCTATTATGCTTTCGACAGGGGTATTCTTTGCCCTGAAACACGCTGTAGGTGCAGCCAGGTATGACGTGACGCCGGACAACACTTTCCACGAGTCTGGTAAGGAACAGTGCTAGAGGGTCATACACACAGCACAACTTGTCGAATGTACTGAATCTGTCGTTCATACAGCTCGGTTCCCATGAGTATACTGTATTAACAGTTTGCAAGTATTCCCAACAAATATCAGAGACGCCAGATTAATGCATTTCTTGACATTCACGATTGACGTGTATATGTTTTATGCCAGATAATCTAAAATTCGAGAAGAAAACCTCCTTTGAATTGTTTAGTCTGTAATAGGACGATGGGGTGAAAATGCCCAAATGTGTACCAAGTTCACATTATTCCTATATCTTATGATATGAGTGGCCATGTTTGGATGAATGAACGTACACACGTGATTGTTCTGATTGTATCAGGTGAGGTGAAATTTGGTTTAACGTCGTGCCTGAGAATATTTCGCTCATATGATGACGTGCATGCGTGTGTATGTGTATGTGCGGCTGCTTGTACTAGCCCAGACTGAAGCTGGTTTTATAGTGCTGGCCCACTGAGATACCATGCCGCAGTGAAGCATGAATTATACATTATATACTCAGACACATTATACTGACTCCGAGCCGACCAGTCCTTGTTGTGCCCATTAATGCCGAGCGCCAGGCAGGTACCAACAAGTACCATATTTTAACGTCTTTTGGTATGACGCGGTCGGGGATCGAACCCGAGACCTTCCGCTCTCCGGGCGGACGCTCTAACCACTACACCACGGAGGCGGTCTCTGACTGTATCATATGGCGGGACCCTCTCTGACCTTACATGCATAACGTAGCCGACATGCGGATTTAAAAACTCTCTATAACTTTACTCAGTGTAGAGTCAGCTCTGCTCTGCTTGAGTGAGAGAGTGACTTTGGTTTTACACTGCTTTTAGCAATATTCCAGCAAAATCACGGCGGGGGACACCAGAATTGGGCTTCACACAATGTACCCATATGGGGAATGGAACCCGGGTCTTCCGCGTGGAGAGCGGGCGCTTTAACCACAAGGCTCCCCAACCCACCATCTGCCTGAAGTGTATACATATATTAGATGGGGCGGCCGGGGAGCCTAGTGGTTAAGGCGTTCACTTGACACGCTGAAGACCGGCGTTGGAATATTGCTGGAATATTGTTAAAGGCAGCATTAACCTAAACTCACTCACACTAAGAACATACACGTTGAAGTATGTCCAGTATATGTACATTGATAAAGTGAAAACTTAGAACATTATCTCTTTCAACCGATGAAACATTTAGCGTTGCAGGACATATTACATCTATGCAAACACTTAAGGAATCCCTCGTACTTGTCGAAACGTGCAAGTGAGGAAAGAATGTACTAGCTTGTGCTTCTCCTTGAGTCCATCTTTATACTTCAAATAGTTGTTGGATGTACATTTTTCATTCTTTCAGCGGCCCCCATGACGGTGGAGAGAACGCATCAGGACATCGGCGTAGTTGTGGAGCATCTACAGTTCTAGCATGCACTCTGGGTCTTCCCTCCAATCCACAAACCTTTCGTTCAGGGTTAAGGTGAACCCTGATCATCCCTGCGACAAAGATGGCATTTCCAGTTAGCTTACCGTGGGAACATGTTCAATGACATTGGCTCTGCTGTCTGCTGGTCACACCATGCCCATCTTCATGTGGAACTTGTTTGTTTACCCATTTTATGTGACTACGAGATTCATTCTCTCGTATAGTAATGTGTATGGATTTAGTTGAGGATGGAAGTAACTCCTGCAGTTACCGCGTTTACAGAGATCAGGGACATGGGATACACAAGAAGGAAACAGACATATGTAACAATTTTTGAACAATTCAGTCCTGGACATATAAAGCCAGGGACATACTTGACTGTCAGAAATAAACATGGACAAAGAACACAAAGAAATATACATATACATTTATGGAAGGGTAAAAATGTTGCATAATCAGTTAATGCTACAGCGACATTAAGTGTATGTGTGTGTGTATGTATGTGTGCGTGTGTGTATGTATGTATGTATGTATGTATGCGTGTGCGTGCAAGGGTCCGTAGTTGTGTGCGTTTGTGTGAGTGTTCCTGCGTTCGTGCATGTTACATGTTCCTTTCCTGGAGTAAATCAGGTCTGCATTGGGGCACTGCTGCATAGTTCTTTCAATTTCCTCTGGCACTTTTCATCACTGCATTTGCATTCGTTGTAGACTTGTAGGACAAACTGTTGAAAAATGTCCATTTTACGACAGAAATCACATCCAGTGTTTAGCTGGACACTTGACATAAGGCATGTCATATCCAATTTCTTTTACGCTATATTGTTCTCTACCTGGACTTTAGAATTTCACTTTCCATGCCAATCGAGTTGTGTGAGCTTATTGTATTCACTTTAGGGACGTCATCAAGTCCTATGATTGTGAGGATTTCCTGTGAAGTTTCATGACTATGTGGAATAACATTGGCTAAATCCCGTGTTGCCACATCTTCGTCTGGAAGGGATTTCTCACGAACTATTGTATTCATGGAGGGAAGGACAACAGCATCTCTGATCCTGCTTTTCTGATCGCTGTACCCACAATCTCGACTAAGACTTTTAAGTTCGTTAAAAATAATTGTCGAACTTCTGCTACTGTTTTCTCCTGTTGATTTAGAAGTTAACAGTTGTTCGAACTTGATTCTTCTTAGGGTTCACATACATTGAACAACGAGGAGAGTTCTATGGATATACAACTTCTTTAATATAATTTCTTTGCTGTAATATGAGCGACGTTTCGATGAAGTCGCTCATATTATATAAAAAAAATTATATCAAAGAAGTTGTATATCCATAGAACCCTCCTCGTTGTTCATCACACCAACTTCTAAATGCCACTCAAACAAATTTCACATACATTGACTATATATTGTACTCACCTTCAAGAGTTTCGTTGTCAGTCAGAGCATCCTGGGTTACCGGCGTCCTAGGGAATGTACCATATATTTATCTCACAACGTCTGTCTCCTGTAAATGTGATCAGATAGTTCACTTTCTCACATTCTGATTTCGAAGTGAATGGGCCTTGAAACGTAAACTCTCAGTGTTGTCGAAAATGGTCCCACTCCTTATCAAATCAGCAACTTTCCAGTTCATGAACCGTTTGCTATAATATAATATAATGTTTATTCGGAATTGTAGGCCTCCAAGCCCATATTTCACAAAGCATATATAGTCATAAAGTCATTACATTAGCAAACATACTGTTTGCAAATACAAAAAGCACTATATAGTGATAATCCAAAATTATTAAGTGTTATATACGTAATAATACTCTCTAAGTATTAGAATACAAGTTTATGATGATAACGTTTATATACTTAACAAGATTTACTTGGTATTCTTCCACTCTCTTCTGAGGACAAAACTGTAATATATATATGCCGCAAGTTTCCATGCTTCAGCTTCACTGTTACACATGTTGATGATTATATTGTTGTTGTGGTAGTTGTATCCTTGTAGGTATGTTTTTCTGTAGACGTATAACGGGCAAGTAAATATAAAGTGATTTTCGTCTTCAATGACATAAATGTTATTAGTCGAGCAATATTCACAAAAGCGTTCTTCTCAAGGTATATTTTCCCATCTTCCAGTTTCCACACATAGATTATGGTTTGCACATCTCAATTTACACAGGTATCTTCTGAAATGACGGTTTTTAACATATGAAAGGTAATTTTCTGGTTGAAGTAGTGACTTAAATTGACAATAAAGTTCTAGTTTATGGTTTTCCTTTATATGTGTATTCCAATTCTGTAGGTTTATATCCTCGAGACGTTGAGAAAAAATCAATAAAAAGGTCTTTACACATCCAACACTTTGAGCAACCCATGCGTATCCAAATTCCAATGAAAATAGTAAAGTTCTGACGTTACCAGCCCACGTTTTCCTACCAGCATTATCTAGGGAAGTTAGCATTTTATAACAGTTCTTAGGGTGTCTGTCCTCCGGCATGTATAATAATTTCAACCAATACACGATGCATTTCTTCATATAGTGTACTGCTAGTGGAAATCTTCCAAGTTCGCCAAGTACAGCAGAGTTACAAGTTTTACCGCCCACTTCTAGAATCTGTTTACAAAAATTATGGTGAATCCTTTCAATGCGTTCCTGGTACTTGTAGCCCCAAATATCAGATCCGTAAGTCAATATTGGTAGAATCATTCTGTCAAACAGAAACAGTGATCTAGAAGTATTTATCGTATGTTTACGCATAAACCTCAACTGTCCAAAACTTGCTTTCCTGGCTTGCTGCGATAAGTGTGTGTGAGTGGTAATCCATGTCAGTTTTGTTGTAAAATAAACTCCAAGATATTTATATTTAGGAACAACTTGTAGCTTACAATCTCTGTAAAACCATTTTTCTGCACTATTAATGATGCCTCCTCTTCTAAATACCACGATCCTTGTCTTGTCCTTGTTCACAGTCATTCCAAACTTATTACAAAAGTCGCATAGAAGATCGATTTGTTGTTGCAGTCTGACAACTGTGTCCGCTGCATTCACTATGTCGTCTGCAAATATTATTGCTATTAAATTCTGTAAAAGTTCGTTAACAAATATTCACTTGCATTCTGAAAATTTCATCATATCAATATATTCATTCAGGAATAGAACAAATAATGTAGGACTTACCATACAACCTTGACGGGTTCCAATTGTACAGTTAAAATATTCACTTAATCCGTTGTAGGTATTTAACATGATCTCAGCTTAGAATACATTGATTCAAGAGTATTGAACGCCTTTCCTATTAATCCTTTCTTCTTAAGGACATACATTAAAAGAAAGTGTTGCACCGAATCGAAGGCTTTACAAAGTCGATAAACACTGCATACATTCTGCTTTTCCTCTTTGATAAGTACTTCTGAATGATAGACTGTAAAATGAAAATGTTATCTGTGGTTGCATATCCTCTACGATAGCCGGCCTGCTCTTCATGAAACTTACTGTTGTTCTCCGCCCTCTCAATGTTCCTTTTATTTAGTATCTTGGTACAGTTTTCCAATTACATTCAGCAAACATATTCCTCTATAACTTATTCGGGTCACCGTTATCACCACTCTTGTATAAAGGATGTATAATTCCGTCACTCCATGCTTGTGGGAAATGTCCAGTGTCCAATACCTTATTGTATATTGACAATAAATAGGGTAAGATACGATGAATGAAATGCTTGAGCATTACAAAGACAGTACCATCAGGTCCAGGGGCATTTTGGTTTTTGAATTCCTGAAGGGCACTTAATATATCATGTCCTGATATCACCTCATCAAGTCCATCAGTGACATAATCACTTTTCTCCGAGTCCTCCATGTCGTCATTTATCATGTTTGCAAATTCCTCCTCTATTGTCAGTTTACTGTTATCTAACACATCAGTGAAGTGATCAACCAATCTGTCTGGCGTTATATCATGTGGACAGTTTGACTTTCTAAGAAACTGTTTTATCTTCTGCCAAGTGTCCTTCACAGAGCCATCACTTTCACAAACATCAATAACTTCTCTTTCTTCAAACTGCCTTTTCTTCCTTTGACATGTACTCTTGAATCTGTTCCTAGTTTTAGTATAAGATTTGAGGTCATCATTATTGTTTGTTCTCCTGCAACAGTTTAGAAGGTTATATTTTTCAGTTTTCAACTCCTCGCATTCACTGTGCCACCAATATGGCTGTTTCACTGTATGAGCACACTTTTCCTTCTTCCTGAAGCATTCACCACACTGTTGTAAGACATCAACAAGAATCTGGAGAGCATGATCAATATCACTATCAACAACATCAAAAATGTCAGCCAACTGTTTACATACACACACACTTTCCGAGGACTCCATGAATTTACCACTATGTTGTGGATTTCACTGTAGTCTATTCCATTTGGTGCCTGTGGTAGACTGTCCTTTTACTTGGTCTTGAGATATTCAAGAAACATGATGTAGGGAAATGATCAGATATATCATTGTCAAGAACCTGAAATTCTGAAAAATACTGGAAAATATTTGAAGAAACAATTGCATTGTCTGTAACACCTTTACCTAAATGGGATATAAAAGTGTAATCGCCGTTGGGGTCCATGATACTTCTCCCATTAAGAACATGGACATGAAATGTTCTGCACAATTCCAACAGAGAAATTCCAAAATTATTGATAACACTGTCCCTTGAGTTTCTTGGGAGGCAAAAAATTCTTCCACTCCTTATCAAATCAGCAACTTTCCAGTTCATGAACCGTTTGCTATTTCCTAACATGATGTTCAGTACTTATACTTCAAACAATTTCCGCTTCGGTGATTCCCTTGTCTATTCCGAGCGCCTTTCAGAGTGCCATGAGGGCTCTCTCATCCCGGAGTCTCTTCCACGATCGAATCAACTGGGACTGGTTTCTGATTTCTGGTTGAAATATACCTTTCATGTTCTTCTTTAAAGTCATTCCCCTAATCTTTCTTTACAAACTTGATTTGTATAATAATTGTGACCATTCCTGATAACATGCATTGAGTATAGGGATGGCATGATGGCGAAACTAGGACGGTTTACTGCCGTAAAGCAATACATGTTACATTGTCGTAAACATCAACACGTCGATATACAGTTTTGAATATGCGTAGTAAACTAAAGTGTTTTAGAACATACTTGCGGTGACTACATTATTCCACGTATATGTACCAACGGAAAACATAATAGACTTCGAATGAAAGTGTATTTGAAGTTCTGGGAAAAACAGAGATCTGGTAATCAGTTCCACCTGCCGACTGTGCCCTTATATCCTACGTCACTATGAGCGGTGTGGCGTCACAGCACGTGCCGGACTAAACCATGTAAGGGGTAATCTTCTATTGAGATGCCCACTTCATGTTGGCTGCAAACTGTCTATGGCTGCTATATTTGTGGGTATCGCACATTGTTGTGAAAAAACCCCAAATAATGGACAAGTACATAAAGCTGAATTCTCTGTAAAACGGCCATTATTGGTGTTTCGCGGATCGAAATGGACCACACATTCCGGACAATGGAATACACACAGTTATGACCATAATGTTAAGTCACATTTTGCAAGTCGTCTGTTGTAATTGGCAGAAAAGGAGGATGAAAAGGGAGAGCACTGTTATGGG